TACTTAATATATACGAACCTAACACCACCCAAGTAAAATTTAATTGTGGAGTAACTTAATTTTAAAATATTCTAATAAAAGAAATGAAATACGTACAACACGTCTGAGAAACTAGTTTAAGTATCGCTACCCATACTGGGCGAGGAATCTTTGATATGCATTAAATCCAGTTTGATATACCTTAACTGTTTTTGACGAAACACATTGTGATTCCATAAATTCTCTAAAGTTCCATTCAGGTCTGCCAAACAATCATGCTCAGAGGTGGGAAAACGGATCTTTAATAAAACCCTTTTCAAATCCTGATTATCTTTGGCTGACTTTAAATTTTTACATTCAAAGGTATCCGAAACATTATCTTTAACTAATGCATCGAAACCATTCCTTAATCCTGAACATAAATAGTTAACAAATTGTCTATCCGGGTGATTTGCTAATACAAATTTAACTCTCTGTATGCTTTAAATTCGAACTGTCAAAATTTTCTATCTTGTCTTATATTTTGACTTTCACTTAAATTGTTCTATATAGTTGGGCAATGATAGCAACAATGTTCTTTGTTAAATTGACCAGTTTACAACCTTGGTTATTATGATTATTACAAATTTGTCACTTGAAGAAGGGCCTGAAACACCTTGAAGTAATCCTCGGTATGGAAAGTTTCTCTGTTGAACAAAACTATGTCCATGTAGTTCTGCTTTCACGGAGCACATATGTGTTGCGTGTGAAGTTGATTGACATGAGTATACATCTGCCCCTGTTACAACTAGGATCTCCTGAACAATGCCGGATTAACCACTGGGCACCATGGGGCCCAGGCCCCAGGGCCCCCCACATTAGAGGGCCCCCCACAAAAATCTCAGTTGCGCGCCTCGAGAATGGTCTGACCGAGGACTCATTTCATAGCACTCGCATGGATATATCCACTGAAATAACGCCAGAATGCGCTAATTTTGTGGCAGAATTTTATTTTTTTCTGGGGGAGGTACTTCTAAATGGCTTCGACACAAGTGCCTGAAATGCCAGGAAATCACGTTTCCGGTCTCCAATTTCTGAAAATGTCCTGGGGGGAGAACACCCCCATACCCCCCTTGCGGGGCTTCGGGCCTTCAGCGCTCGCGGTGGCCGGCTTCGCCGTCCACAGCACCGCGGTCGGTAATCCGGGGCCCCCACATGTTCCGGGCCCCAGGGCCTCTACCAGGGTTAATCCCGCGTTGCTCCTGAAGCCCAATTTGCCTAAATATTGTGTCGCATTATTGCATTAGCATATTTGATTGTAAATAGCTTTTATTATTCAAAGAACCTGTCTGACCAGATATTAATAATTCTGTCCAGCGAACTGTTACTAGTGTCGCCTATATTTTTGCTGGTTCGGCGATCTCTTCTGTTGCGCGCGCGTGACCTAGAACTGATTCCACGTGACGTAGATCTATCTCGCTGCGGTTGACTAGTCCTTGATCTTGTTACATCATGATTTTCCTTGTACAGCTTTCTTTATCAATTGATTCTTCGAAAAGGATGAAGGGACGGATATCAGGCCCGTATCTAGTCCCATCACGTGGCTAAGTGGGTAAGGCGCTGGCTCGCTAGCCTGGAGGTCGGGTGTTCGATCCCTGCATTGGCTGAGAAAGTTCATCCAGATTTTCCGGCGTGGTTTCCCCTTGTCAGTGATGCAGGATGGAGGGCGAAAAACCGAGGTCCCGTGTACACATTGGCGTGCACGTAAAAGATCCCTTGACAGTTGGAATTCGATATAAGAGTAGGCGATAGTGCCGCTGCCCGGGCAAAAATTCCCTCATAGCACTCTGTATGGCGTATGCTTGTTTTTAGCTAGGATTGGCTGCCTTTAGTTCCAAGTGGCAAACTCAATTTCTTTATTAATGCATGCAACATCTTAAAAAATAAGATAATTTTATACTATTATGACTAATTAAACTTACATAAGCCAATGTAGTGGCACAGCTAACGCCTAAATCCAAATATTCGCGTTTAAATTAATGAACCGTTGTTTTTATCCGACATACATCTCCCGTTTAAAAATGTCGTTCCTAGTAACGGCTTAACGCCACGATTTTAAATTAGATGATTTATACCCGTTTCAGCTAGGATTTTAATTGTAGTTCGATGTGGCAGAAATATTATAAATAACAATAATCAATCGTCGTTTTGATGAAATATATTGTCAATTTTGCTTACTGAGGCCCGATGTGATTTGCGTTGGGCTTTCCTACGTGGAACTATATAGCAAATTATTTATTATCTCGAAACACGGAGGGTTGAGAGATGAGGTTTGTTAAGTAGGGTCTAGGGTGCTCTGCCCCCAGAAAATTTTGGAAAAAAAAGGGTTTGCACTGAAAATGACGGAAAATTTCAATTTTGAGACAGAATTTGCGATATTGGTGTATTATGATATTGATATATTTGAAGGAAGGCGACTTTAACGTACCTATAATAATTTATGAGAAAAACGAAAGATTCGGAATCGGGTTAGAATGCGACTAACCAATCTTACTCGGCATTATGGATGCCTATGATCTCGCCGTGGGCGGCCAACTAATCTCGTGATTAGGGGCGCCCCTCCGGGATGAGGCACCCCACAAATCATGCCGTTTGGGCACTCCATTGATCAAGTCGTGGGCGCCCAACCAATCTGACTCGGTATTATGCATTATTTGCAGCCCGACAATCATATATTGTCATTATGAGGCGCCCTACCAATCATGTCATTATGGGCGCCCCTCCGTGATAAGGCACCACACAGATCAAGCCATTTTGGGGGCCCCATCAGTTGTGGTGTTAATCGCGTGAGTCATTATGAGGCGCCTCACGATTTTGGGGGCTCCTCATATATAACGACATGATTGGCGAGGCGCCCCTAAAACTAAATGACATTGGTTGGGCGCCCAATCTCGTCGTGGGCGCCCAAAAATTGTCACTCGGCTTTATGTGGCACCCATACTGATATGGGCACCCAATAATTGTCACTCGGCTTTATGTGGCACCCATACTGATATGGGCACGTTGGTCGTTGACTTCGTATTGCATCCAATGGAAATGGAGCCGATTTTTTCACCAATGGACAAAGGACGCCAAATTTTTCCAGGAGGGACAGCGGGCCCCTCCCGCTAGCTACGGGCCCGGATATACCGATATCTCTATTGCAGTGGTTCTCGACCATCTTTTGCCAACGGCAGACCTTGGAACACATGAAAAAATAGCGGAACACCTGGCTAATTTTTGCAAAATAAAAGCATGGTTAGTCAAACGGCATACAACCGTAGACAGTGGCTAGCTAGTTAGAGACACGTAGAATGACTCAAACTAAGTAAAGAAAAACACAGCTTATCAGTAGACACCAGTAAATACTTAATTAGGATCACGTGGTTTTTCGCATTTTCTTAGTCTTCCGTTAAAAATTTCGCGGCACACATAGGAAGATCTCTCGACACACCTGGGTGCCGCGGCACACTGGTTGAGAATCACTGCTCTATTGACTTAGCCTACGCGCTGTATTCTAGAAAGAGGCAGATTCAACAAAGAGGCAGGTGAGATCACATGAGACTTATGGACGAGTTTGTGTCATTGCATAAAAGAGGCTTATTTACATAAGCTTATATTCATGATTTGCATCAATGAAATTGAATCACAGTGTGATCCTATTAATTCATAATAAAAATTGCGTCAAACGAGGTGTTTGATTTTCTCTGTAAAAAGCTCAGTGTGTATGTATGCCAACGTGATGATGATACCATGCATTATTAACTGTCAAATCTCCTTAATAGGAACCTTGCAAACCCCCTCCTGCAAAAATTCCTGGACGCCTGGCCCCACAGAAACTACTTTTCAGCGACAGCCCATAAGGCAGGGAAGGACAGTAAGTTTATGATTATATTGACTAGAAAAGTAGAATTACGCGGATCAATCGGGTATGTGATGACATTTACTGTCCACGATTTTCGTAATAGAATTCGAGTTACTCTGTTGCGCACTGATGACGTCGTTCGGGGTTTTACACGATCGATCTCATTGCTAGGGACCACCTCTACGCATAATACATTAAAATTTGTTGAAGTGAACATCCATGATTGTTCTAGTTATCTTAGGCCTGAAGCTGGGTCAGATTTTTGTGACATTTTGTTTCACCCATCGCTGTTGTGGCTAAAAATATCCAAATTACTTTCTTAATTTAGGACTTTATTTTGTCGCGGATTCAGCGATGGCAACTGGCAAATGACTGCTGACTGACTTATCAGTCAATGAAATCGCTGCTTCATTTATCTGTGATCTTTGAAGGTAAACAAAACGTCTCCTTTTGATTGTTGTTCTAGGTTTTATTTCGTCGTAAATTTACCCAAAATACAGTAACTGGATTCGGGGGGTCACGTGGCTAAGTGGGTAAGACGCTGGCTCGCTAGCTTGGAGGTCGGGTGTTCGATCCTTGCATTGTCCGAGAAAGTTCATCCAGATTTTCTGGCGTGGTTTCCCCTTGTCAGTGATGCAGGACGGAGGGCCTGGCAAGGACAGCTGTCTAGTCGTTCGGATGGGACAAAAAACCGAGGTCCCGTGTACACATTGGCGTGCACGTAAAAGATCCCTTGGCAGTTGGAATTCGATATAAGAGTAGGCCGTAGCGCCGCTGCCCGGGCAAAATTTCCCCAATAGCACACTGTATGGCGTATGCCCGTCTTCATTAGCCCAGGTTAGGAGCAGAACAGTAGGACGTTAAACCCCATTTCATTTCATTTCAGTAACTGGATTCGTCTATTTAATTGTGAGTACACGTCAGCCACAATGTTCGTATGTAGGACATACCACGCCATTGACTCAATGGCAGACTTTATGATACAGCGCGCACACGCTAACCATTCAGTCATCCATCCCTCACCGCTCATAACAATAGGAGGTTAAACCCCATTTCATTTCTTTAACCGACAATAGAATTGCGCAATGAAGAATCACGTGACTGGCCCCTTTCACAAATATAACGTCATTTGCTTAGTCACGGCTAGGCCATTTCAACATATTGAGTCTAGACAACCTGGTTACTATATATGTATGATACCTGTAGATTGATTGACTATTCGTACTCTATATTATGGAGACTCTACACTTGAAATCTAAAAGAATATGGATGTTTTTATTTGTTATTTATCTACCTGGTTTATCAGCAAGTAAGTATATTAGAAATCTATAACGATATTTTACACAAATAAATACACCTGTTTTTATTAATTGAGTTGATCGATAAACTCTTAGCATGTAGGTTATGTAGATCAATGTCGTAACAACCCGCCTTGACAATGGGCAATGACTGTTTATCTTTCATTTAACGAATACTTAGATTTAAAAGCAGGAGTAAGCTTCCCATCGCATTCGACACAGTCGGGTACGAGATTATGAATTAATCAAGATTTGGTGTCAAGATTATGGTGGATGATTGGTATGATGCGGTGACGTCGTGGTGTCGCTTTTCAGAAGGCATGCTATTTAGACCAAAGATGGTTTCGATCTCACAATTGTTCGTATTACCGCTTTCCTCACACTGGCAAAGACTGCTAATTATTGAAATAAAATTCTGCCATGCGTTATTCTCAGATAATTATTGAAATAGAATTGTAGTATATATTTTAGTCCCGTAATATTCTATTTTGTGTTTCCCCTTTAAATCGTTATCCCCGTGTTATCCTGTAAGCGAAAATTTCAATTACATCACTTTCTTGCCCAATCACAGTTAAACGATGAAAATAAAGACAACTATTATCTCTCAATTAATACCCTGATCTATGTAGTACAGTAGTCAAACCATTGAATTTCGATTTGCCTTTATGTTTTTATGTTGTGAGATTTCCGTGTCCTTGGTACCATGTGCTCTGGCTCCGCTATTTAGTTTTTCAAACTTGAAATTTGAAATTAACCGTTCATAACTTTAGACCAGCGATACGAATAATCCTTATACTGACAACGTATATTAGGACCTTATATAGTATGTGAGGGTTTCATTTATGTATATCACCATATACATAACTATGCCTTATTCCGTTTAGTAATAAAAAGATTCACTGTTTTATAAAGGTAAACATTTTTTTACTTTAACATGTCTTTTTCCCAATTTCAAGCGTCCTTGACCTCACCCTTATATTAATGAGCAAATAGATTATTTCATATCAGAATCCAAATGTCGTGTCATTTATATGATTTGATAATATTAAAGTAGCCCTTCCTGTGAAGCGATAAAACGACATTGAAAGGTAAATAAAGATGCGTCATTTATGTTTTGACTCGTGCTATCACAATTATCGACAAATCGGGTGGTATATCTTAATATAGACCATTGACCTTCATTTGCAAAAACTGTCATTTTTTAAAGGGGCATTATGGAAGATTTAGATAAAGAGATGACAGTGCTTGCTATAATTGTTAAAAATAGATAATGAAAACGGAATACGTTGAAAATCGTAATCTAATTAACACACCCATAGCTGAGTTTTCCCTATTTAAAGAACAATGTAATCTCTTAACAGTGCTTGCTACCGTTGTTAGGATAATAAACGAAGCCTCGATTATCCATTTTTAAATGAAATCATTAACCGCCAATCGTATTTAAATCTGTTGAAAATCTCTAGCATCTGATGGCATCGAAAGTTGATTATGGTCTTGGTAAGTTGATTATGGTCTTGATAAGTTAATTATTGTCTAATTAATAATTTATGTAACATTTAAGACATAAATAAAGACCTGTAAGAGGCAGATTTAGCTTTTGCGTAAAGGCTATTTAACATTATTCATATAGGGTGTCCTCAATATTGATTGAAACAGACTTGTCAAAATCGAATCCATGATAGCTTATAAATTATCTTGTAAAGTGTTGGTAAATGTTACGAAAAAGGCTTGATTCTAAACTTTTGTTTGATTATTATTCATTTATGTAAAAATATTAAGTATTTGGGGGTCCTTGTATAGAATTTGTTAGCTTTACACACGTTTTATGGGGTACCATTTCGGTCATTCCATGTCAACTGGACCATTGCTTGTAAAATGACCACCTTAGAAAATTATGAAAAAAAATATAATGTTTTATTTTATGATCAGTAGTGGAATACCGCGTTTTATCAGTGAAATAAAAGTGTTATTCCACTGGCAAAGTAGTCCATGTTGTTTTTTACCTAAAATGATTGTAAAATCATAAAATAAATAGAGCATTTTTCGTTTGGTCGTGAATAACATATTTTATTTCATCTCTAAGCAAGAAAACATGTAGCATTCGTGAAAATATAAGTTTTCTTGCTTCTCGATGAAATAAAATATGTTATTCACTCTAAAAGGACAAATATCCTCTATATAGTATATTCAGTGCAATAATAGCTCAACACAAAAACAGTTTAAAGGAAATTTTGATGTTGTTTTACTATTTTCCATATAGATAATAAACATATAAATCATTTGATGTCTGTGTTGGTACTCCATAAAATGGTCTAAACGGATATTAGAAAAAAAAATGATTATATGGACTTCGTGTGTTAAAACAAAGATAGTTTTCAAAATCTAAAGTCTTGCTGGTTGTAGTGCTGAATATAAATAAAATAAAACCATTAGACAAAATTCGAAGTCCTAAAAAACGGTATAGGCAAAATAATGTAATCAGCAAATGTAATACTATAGGGGTTATTTTAGTTCTATGAAAGGTGATATGTTTAATATAGGGGTTATTTTAGTTCTGTGAAATGTGATATGTTTAATATACTCTCCAAAAAAAGTAGGGGATATAGAAATGTAAATACCTATGCAGGTTGCGATATGATAAATTAGTCGTGGACATGTGACATGCTTTGAGAGCGTGTTCACAGATGAAGAACTTATCGCCCCAACAGAACCCCTGAGCTGCACATGCGACACGCAATACTACCATACACGTGGGAGGAGTTCATTGTCAAATGTGACACTTCAAGGAAGGGTTGATGAAAACTGTCGCATGTTGGTTTATCTATCCATGTTTGCTTTCCTATCGGTTCTTGCATAAGATTTACCGTTTAGTTTATCTTTGCTTTAGTGTGTTACGTTTAATTTGATCGGGAGACGTGTTCGTCGACGTCAACGTCAACCGACAACACTGCAAGAATTGACCGTGGTACTGCAAGAGGAGTGGGTCAGATTGCCTCAAATCGTGATTGGACGGTTGCTTAGGAGCATACCACGACGAATTGCTGAATGTCTGAGGATTGGTGGGGAAATTACTCATTATTAAGACAAAAATCAAAAACGTCTATTTTCACTTTTAACGGTGAAATGGGGCCGTTAGATAAGCCGCCCATATGAACTGTTTATGTTCATGTGTAGGTAATTGGCCTGTTATTAACATACACTGGTTACCTCTAATAAAAACAGCAGTGCATTTCCACAGTTTTGTATTGTTTCTGAATATCCCCTACTTTTTTTGAAGAGTATATATGGAAGTGGTTAAACAAATGTGTGTCTAATCGCTAGTAGGAGTATAATCTTCGTGATAATAGATAATTGTCCCTGAGCCACCGGTGTCACTGAAATAAAGGTCCTATCCCTCACCCCAGCAAATTTTAAGAAGACATTTGCTACTACTGATGATACTGTCGAGGTATATGAACACAAAGGCTATTGGTCTATTCAAATCAAATGAGATATCAATAGATAGAATGACCAAGTAGATCGAATAAAATCGTAGTACAGTTATACCAAGCGAAATTGTCATGCATATTTTCCGCGTAAAATGCCACAGAAGGGGCGTTCGCCTCTATCCATTCCAGAGGCCTCTTGATAATGGCAAAATTTACCTCATCCCATCCGAACGACTATACGTTGCCCCTTTTATTTACAAAAAAAAACATAGTATAAAACGATAAAAACGATTTATAACAACGGTCATATTTGTTTGATAGAATAATAATTTTTAAAAATAACCTCAGTCGGACAAACATAATTTATAATGTATAAAAAATATATGTATATTGTATAAAACATATATTTATATTGTATAAACATACAAGTATTTACAGGGGGAAAAAAGCTCTAAATGAATACATATAAAATGCACTAGATCAAAGCGTTAATTGATATTACTCAATTACTAATTCTAAAATGATTATATAAATGAATAATAACGAATTTCATCATAAGGGACTAATCCGATTTACATAATACTTTTGATGAATGACAATATAGTGACAACCTAACTTCAACAACGGTAATTGACGTAATGGACTAATGGCTACTGATTCGATCGTATGCATGAGAAAGGAACACTCCAAGCTCTCTGTTTAGGACCGGCGTATGGTATCCAATCGTTTTACTTATCTTCTTCACGTATTGGTTGCAGTACTTCTACTTTAGATCATCGCACCCTGTGCCTCTTCTTCCTCAGGTGTTCAGCGACTTAGATTGGTTGTCCTTAGAAATTGGTGTTCGTCAATTCTTATACTGGTTATCACAGGAACAGGCGTGGTGTCATTTCCTCCCTAACAAGGATAGTGGCTACTTTTTGTTGTGGGACAAAAACGCAAGGTCCTGTGAACCCTTGATAGTTGGAACTTGAAATAAGAGTAGGGTGTAGCGCCGGAGTCTGGGCAAAATTTCCCTTATAAGACACTGTATAGCGTATGTCCATCTTCATTAGCCCAGTCGATGCACACAATAGGAAGTTACACTCCATTTCTCTTCACTGCTTTGTAAGTTCCATGTTTGTGTGCATTTTATGTAACCCTTTTATTAATAGCTTTACACACGTTTTATGGGGTACCATTTCGGTCATTCCATGTCAACTGGACCATTGCTTGTAAAATGACCACCTTAGAAAATTATGAAAAAAAATATAATGTTTTATTTTATGATCAGTAGTGGAATACCGCGTTTTATCAGTGAAATAAAAGTGTTATTCCACTGGCAAAGTAGTCCATGTTGTTTTTTACCTAAAATGATTGTAAAATCATAAAATAAATAGAGCATTTTTCGTTTGGTCGTGAATAACATATTTTATTTCATCTCTAAGCAAGAAAACATGTAGCATTCGTGAAAATATAAGTTTTCTTGCTTCTCGATGAAATAAAATATGTTATTCACTCTAAAAGGACAAATATCCTCTATATAGTATATTCAGTGCAATAATAGCTCAACACAAAAACAGTTTAAAGGAAATTTTGATGTTGTTTTACTATTTTCCATATAGATAATAAACATATAAATCATTTGATGTCTGTGTTGGTACTCCATAAAATGGTCTAAACGGATATTAGAAAAAAAAATGATTATATGGACTTCGTGTGTTAAAACAAAGATAGTTTTCAAAATCTAAAGTCTTGCTGGTTGTAGTGCTGAATATAAATAAAATAAAACCATTAGACAAAATTCGAAGTCCTAAAAAACGGTATAGGCAAAATAATGTAATCAGCAAATGTAATACTATAGGGGTTATTTTAGTTCTATGAAAGGTGATATGTTTAATATAGGGGTTATTTTAGTTCTGTGAAATGTGATATGTTTAATATACTCTCCAAAAAAAGTAGGGGATATAGAAATGTAAATACCTATGCAGGTTGCGATATGATAAATTAGTCGTGGACATGTGACATGCTTTGAGAGCGTGTTCACAGATGAAGAACTTATCGCCCCAACAGAACCCCTGAGCTGCACATGCGACACGCAATACTACCATACACGTGGGAGGAGTTCATTGTCAAATGTGACACTTCAAGGAAGGGTTGATGAAAACTGTCGCATGTTGGTTTATCTATCCATGTTTGCTTTCCTATCGGTTCTTGCATAAGATTTACCGTTTAGTTTATCTTTGCTTTAGTGTGTTACGTTTAATTTGATCGGGAGACGTGTTCGTCGACGTCAACGTCAACCGACAACACTGCAAGAATTGACCGTGGTACTGCAAGAGGAGTGGGTCAGATTGCCTCAAATCGTGATTGGACGGTTGCTTAGGAGCATACCACGACGAATTGCTGAATGTCTGAGGATTGGTGGGGAAATTACTCATTATTAAGACAAAAATCAAAAACGTCTATTTTCACTTTTAACGGTGAAATGGGGCCGTTAGATAAGCCGCCCATATGAACTGTTTATGTTCATGTGTAGGTAATTGGCCTGTTATTAACATACACTGGTTACCTCTAATAAAAACAGCAGTGCATTTCCACAGTTTTGTATTGTTTCTGAATATCCCCTACTTTTTTTGAAGAGTATATATGGAAGTGGTTAAACAAATGTGTGTCTAATCGCTAGTAGGAGTATAATCTTCGTGATAATAGATAATTGTCCCTGAGCCACCGGTGTCACTGAAATAAAGGTCCTATCCCTCACCCCAGCAAATTTTAAGAAGACATTTGCTACTACTGATGATACTGTCGAGGTATATGAACACAAAGGCTATTGGTCTATTCAAATCAAATGAGATATCAATAGATAGAATGACCAAGTAGATCGAATAAAATCGTAGTACAGTTATACCAAGCGAAATTGTCATGCATATTTTCCGCGTAAAATGCCACAGAAGGGGCGTTCGCCTCTATCCATTCCAGAGGCCTCTTGATAATGGCAAAATTTACCTCATCCCATCCGAACGACTATACGTTGCCCCTTTTATTTACAAAAAAAAACATAGTATAAAACGATAAAAACGATTTATAACAACGGTCATATTTGTTTGATAGAATAATAATTTTTAAAAATAACCTCAGTCGGACAAACATAATTTATAATGTATAAAAAATATATGTATATTGTATAAAAAATATATGTATATTGTATAAAACATATATTTATATTGTATAAACATACAAGTATTTACAGGGGGAAAAAAGCTCTAAATGAATACATATAAAATGCACTAGATCAAAGCGTTAATTGATATTACTCAATTACTAATTCTAAAATGATTATATAAATGAATTATAACGAATTTCATCATAAGGGACTAATCCGATTTACATAATACTTTTGATGAATGACAATATAGTGACAACCTAACTTCAACAACGGTAATTGACGTAATGGACTAATGGCTACTGATTCGATCGTATGCATGAGAAAGGAACACTCCAAGCTCTCTGTTTAGGACCGGCGTATGGTATCCAATCGTTTTACTTATCTTCTTCACGTATTGGTTGCAGTACTTCTACTTTAGATCATCGCACCCTGTGCCTCTTCTTCCTCAGGTGTTCAGCGACTTAGATTGGTTGTCCTTAGAAATTGGTGTTCCTCAATTCTTATACTGGTTATCACAGGAACAGGCGTGGTGTCATTTCCTCCCTAACAAGGATAGTGGCTACTTTTTGTTATGGGACAAAAACGCGAGGTCCTGTGAACCCTTGATAGTTGGAACTTGAAATAAGAGTAGGGTGTAGCGCCGGAGTCTGGGCAAAATTTCCCTTATAAGACACTGTATAGCATATGTCCATCTTCATTAGCCCAGTCGATGCACACAATAGGAAGTTACACTCCATTTCTCTTCACTGCTTTGTAAGTTCCATGTTTGTGTGCATTTTATGTAACCCTTTTATTAATATATTTTTTCAGTATGGGCTAATGCAATACAGGTATTGTCAAAACCTTTAGTGTTGCCCTCAGGTTAAAATACGTTCCCTTGCATAATTGCATCTCAAACGTAAAACCTGATTTCTTTTGATTCTCAGGCCGTATGGTACTTCTACATGTATAAAGATTTACAATTATTTTTCAGTAACACGTCCCCCTAGTATAAATATACAACCAAACTATGATGTTTATTATAAAGGTGGTGAAACAGTAGAGATGCCATGTGTAGCTGATGGAGAACCTCAACCAAAGTATGTTGAAAATTCTTCATAGCCGATGTCTCCACGGTTTCTTGGGGCTTTTTTTAATTAGAAACAAGCTGGATATAAGTATGGACTCTTTGCGGTTTTTTTTAAAATAAATCCAATTGTCCTGGCCAACCTTATCGAAAGTTATATTTCCATTTCAATTTTGACTTAAAAGCCTGTGATTGTAATGTATGTCAACGTTCTCAATAAAAGGACGAACACTTTAGAGTCCTTTGAGTCATACACCAATTAATTGTACAGCTATTGCCCTTGTCATGCTTATAATCTCGCTCCAGGACATAGTTTTTGAAAAAAAAAGGTCAACCTTATCGAGTGTTATATTTCCATTCCCATTTTGACTTTAAAAGCTTATGATGATTCCTATGCATGTCGAAATTCTCAAGTTATTTTTTATTTGGGGGGGGGGGGGGGTGTTCATTAGGGCATACATTGCAACACTGTTCCATAAATCGTAAATCACAGATTATCATACCATACGGTAAAAACATATTTTGTGGTTAAACTTTTGACTATTTTACTTTTATAGCATTTAGATATGATACAAGAGGGAGTTCTATTGGTGGAATTTTTACACACTTGCCCAGTAGAATTAGTTGACAGTGATTATAGAGGTTATTGTGTGAGTCAGGTCTATATCTAAATTCAGTATGTGATTAAATCATCTAGCTGCTGGTCGGATACTGATTTGTTGCCTGGCAAACAATGTTTTTAATTAGATTGTAAATAATGACTGTTGGTATTTTAACAGCTATACATGGACAAGAAATAGTGAAGAATTTAACACAAGTGGTAATGATGATCGCGTGGTGCAGTTACCCAATGTAGGTACAATAGTAATCAACAGACCAGAAGATAAAGATGAAGGTGTATATCAGTGTTTCGCTGATAATGGCTATGGTAAATCGGCAACAATTAATATTAATTTAAGGATAGCCAAATTGGATCAATTTGCTATTGCTGCACCTATTATACATACACCAAACCTTGGTAAGTTTGTTTTAATACACTGTATCCTTGCAGACTGAGACAGATATTACATATTCTGAAGATCATGTAATTAGTTACCTGTAAAACAAAAAGGAACGGTACAAAGATGGAATTCGGGTTCACGTCCTACTTTTCTGCACCAACCTGGATAATCTATTGGGCCAAACGGGATGATGAAGGCGATCACACGCGACTTTTTTATATCATCCCATTCAAATCATTAGACTCGGCCAACTTCGGGATCGAACACGAGAACTTGTCCTGGCTATAAGTGGTTTCTATTCAAGTTAAAGCAATATTCCTAGATTCCAGAACACAGACTGTTTTCAAATTTCTGGATTCATGCTTCTTTTTCCGACAACCTTGTGAAAGTGTGCACTCTAGATTACATGTAATCAATTATACGTCCAGATTTGAAACTGTCAAAATAATGCAAGACACGGACCCGTCTTCATTATCCCAGTCGGAGCAAAACAGTAAGACGTTACACCCCATATCATTTCAGTTTTGTAAGACACAGTATCCTACAGTCTGGATTGATCAATGGGGATGTTTTATGCCTATTTGGACTAAATAGCCCAGGGTGTTTTTCTGTGAGGAACTGGAGTGGTAGGTTAAAATATCGGCTCATTTGTTTAGATTTAATTTTATATTTTAGGCGATCCTTTGACGCTTGATTGTGTTTTACCTGACAGTGTTCCGAGTCCTCAATTTTACTGGGCGATAAGGAATGAAAGTCATCAGATAGCCATCGATTATGATGCTCGTATTACTCTTGATGATGAAGGTAAGCTTAAAATAATCGGGTAATATTATATTGTATAAAATGAATATCAAATTGTACATGTATCTACTCTATCCTTTGTAATAGTCCCATATTTAATGTTGACTTTGTAATACTCCCATATTTAATGTTGACTTCTATTGTTGTTATCTATCTCCATCGTTATGAACAGCTGGTCTTAGTCATAAAGTAATGGGTAATGGTAATTAATTACTTTCAATGTATTTGGTAATGGCAATGAAATGAAAGGATTGGGGTTTAACGTCCTACTGTTCGGCTTCGACTGGGCAAATTAAGACGGGCATACGCCATACAGTGTGTTATGAGGGAAATTTTGTCCTGACAGTGGCGCTACGGCCTACTCTTATATCGAATTTCAACTGCCAAGGGACCTTTAACGCACACGCTCATGTGTACACGTAACCTCGGTTCTTCGTGACATTCAAACGACTATACGATGTCCCTTGCCAGTTCCTCGGTCAAGCACCACGGACAATGAGGAACTGCCACACAAACTAGGTTATTTCGGGACTAACATATGGTTCAATTTTATTTCAATAATTCACTTGCGCGTAGTGGTCTTTCCCAGTGGGAGAAAAACGAAGAACCCGAAGATAACCCGCGGGGTTAGACAGGCGACCCTACTCCTTGTCACGTACATGCGAGGAATCAACCCCCCCCCCCCACACACACACACACACACTTGACTCAATGACAGACCGTCTGATCCAATGCACACGCTTTAACCATTCGGCCACCTACCCCCCGCACCCTGACAGTTTGCGATACAGAACAAAATTGTTAACGTGGGTCTGCCTATATGGAAGAATCTTATTGATGTTAAAGATTTTTTGAAAATTGTTACTGATATGTTTCTGTTCACTATGTGAGATTGCTTATTGTGGCACAAGAAAAAGTTTTGTCCAGTTTATAAATTTTGGAATCATGCATATTTTGAATTGTTTCGTATTGTTCAATTTTATTTCACGTACACCCGGAGAATAGTAACCACGTCAGTTGATTCAATGACAGACCTTATGATGCAATGCGCACGCGCTAACCTTGTGAATGCGATATAGGAAACCGTTTGCTACTTGTGGGTGTAAAGGGGGCATGACAGGCTCCTGTCTATGTTCTTGTTTTGTTGGCTAGTTATCCTTAATAATCTGTTCTTTCATTAATCGAGTATATCTCGGAGGTTTAAAGAAGAGCCCTATCAAAATTCATTATATTATCCCCTTTTCAACATTTAAAATGACTAATTTTTCCTCTACGAAGTATGTAGAGTTTACAAATTTTTGATCTGTGTTGTTTTTTCTTTCACAAGCTCGTCTACGAATAACCAATGTAAAGGCCGAGGACAGACAAGAGGATCGTGCTTATACATGTATTGCTTTAAATCGAGTTGCACGACAAGTTGTGTCTGGATTTCCAAATTTTATCAAACCAAGAGGAAGTAAGTAATTAAGTTAAACACTTAAAGGTTCAATACCACTCTTGTTGTAACTGAATAATATGTCCCAATCTTTAATCAGGTTAACAAATTGTACTATTTTTACAATATTCCAATTAATTGATGATACAAATTTCATCTTAACACACCTAATTTAAAACATTGGAAAAATTCAACTAAATGATTTGAAAAGCCTGACGTAAAGCTTTTCAAATGTGACTTGGATTTAAAAATATTTTTGAACCCTCTGGACAAGTAAAATAGGATTTAATGGATAATTTACACAACAGGTAGGACACTAACACATCTAGTACTTAGAATAAGGCTATTTTTTTTATTTTCTGGAGCTGTCAAGCTAGTAAGAGTGTTATTGTCCCTTTAAGTTAATATTTTGATTCAGATATTTATTGTTTAAAGCTGTATTCCACGAAAGTATTTGGAAAGTCGTTATTTCCAATAGAATTATGTTTAATTTAGTATAATATATGGAAAGAGAGACATCCAATCTTACTAGAAAAATATTGGATTCCCAGATAAAGACATATGACGCACACGCAGGAAAAAATGTGTTCACATACTGTGAGATCATTGAGAGTCTTAAACATACTACAGACATTGCAATTAATCGCCGGAAAGAGTTGTTGCCAGCGGATAATCCAAGAATTTACCATATTTATGGTAAATATTCAGCGAGTAACGACATTGCTACTTAAACTAGATTTTTACAGCTTGGGGTAGTTTTCTTCAGATTGAAATCTTTTTAGGGGGTTTGAATATGCTTAAGTCCAAATATATCAAATCACAGGATTTGTACGTGGGAAGGGATCTTTAATTTGTAAAATTCTGCTTAGTTCCATATTTGTGTGTTTAAACCTTTTCTAGCTGGACAAACATTTTATTTGAAGAAGTCAAGGGTGGCATTATATGTAATATTATTTGTTTGAAAATACGAAAGGATATTTAGTTTTGTTCTTTTACAAATAATATTAAGACAAACAAGAAAAGGATTTTTATTAGGCTGCTGGTTTGCTACAGAACACATGGCAGATACTGTATTTTTTTTTAAATTAAAAAACGTTTATAAATTATATATTTTAGCTGTGGAGACTTTACATAACGTAAACTATATGTGGGCGTCACCTAGTGATCATTATGGTCTTCGTGGTGATGAGTTTAAACTAAAGTGTATTTTCTCTGGAAAGTAAGTGATTTTAAAGGATTACAAAAACCACAATACAGTCATTTTGAGACTAACATTCGGTTAATTTTATTTACTATTGTCAGATGTGTAATGATAGTAAAGAGAATTTTGCCAGTACTACAGTATTTCTATCAATTCTTCCTTCGATAAAATGTATGTGCTTGCCAATGTGTACGCGGGTGATGAACAAGGTAGGTATGAGCCAAATGAATTTTATACTATCTTGACCAATCACTATAGCTGTGACAGAATTCGGTTATGTGACAGTTGATTGCATTTCCATCAATCCAGATTGTTCCAGACAGACAGTCGAGCACATTCTCCATGTACATTGGACGAGAACCAAGGATCACAATGAGTGCATGGTGACAGTAAACACTACGTGGCTACAATAAATAGTATATGGTTACAATAAATACATGTAGTGCATGTGTATAATAAACATTAGCCTACACGGTTACAATAAACGTACGTACATGGTTACAAACAGTGCATGATTGCAACACACGTTCCATGATTACAATAAACAGTACATGATCTAAATCTTTTTATTATTGCATTTCTTTGTAGTCCGACTCCTGTGGTACATTGGACGAAAATGACTGGAGGGACTATGCCACCAGGAGTGAACATAACGAGTTTTGGCCCAGAATTAATATTTCCCCATTTAGAGTTTAGCGATGCTGGAGAATATGAATGTGTTGGTAACAACACGATAACGCAGACACCGGGTCGAGTTTCTTTCAGTTTACGTGTTGAATGTAAGAATCAGCATAATTTTTGCTTTTGTTATATTTTTATTGTACACTTCACATCACCAAAGAAGAACTGAAATGAAATGGGATTTAACTCCTACTGTTCTCCTCCGACTGGGCTAATGATGACGGGCATACGCCATATAGTGTACTATAAGGGGAATTGTGCCTGAACAAACACTTACATCGAATTCCTACTGCGATGGGATCTTTTACGTGCCCGCCAGTATGTACACGGTACAGCGGTTTTTCGTCCCGTGCCCTCTGTCCCACACCACTGACAAGACGGGACCCCCAAAGACGGACTCAAACGTTCGAATTGTGTCGTCACGTAATTTATTGTATGTAATATTGTCATTTATAACAGTAAACATTAAAAATAACCTAATTTTGCATTATAAGGTGTTTTCTAACAGCAAAAATGGGCGACGGGGTGTCATATGCGCTTACCATAGGTTATTAGGTAGGAATCACCCCAGATATATCCGTGCTTATTTGACACGTTACACTGGATAACCGTAGCATCATCACGCGTCACGTTAATCATCATCACAGTATCAGGCTTTAAATCTTTCATTCGTGATTCTAGGATCTGTAACTCCTAGAAAATTATGCAAATAGATTGTAGATATGTACCAATAACTATAATGCAATTTGGTATTTATAATATATTTCAGAAAAATAATTAATTTTGTTTTGTAATGTGTTTTAAAGAAAAGACATTTGTGATAATGTACAATCATTTGTTTAAGTCAATATTTGAGAACACTAAGCTTCACATCCAATGTATTAGCAGTCATTAATATCAGGAATATTAACACCATGATGACCCAGTTTCATTTCAAAAAATAATGTTTGTTGTTTGTTTCAGCGCGACCGTATTGGGTAGATGGTGGCCTAAAGGACGCAGAAGTTGCAATCGGAGAATCTGCTAACTTTTCATGCAAGGCTGGTGGAGTTCCTGTACCATATGTACAGTGGTTCGTCAATGGTGTACGTCTTTCGGGTAAGTATACTATAAATTTCTTGCATAATAACTAAACGCTATATTCTAATCATAATCATTATCTGGTATTTTACCTAACTATTTAAACAATGAACTATAACACATACTATAACACATTATTATTTAAACAATATACTGTCATTCCACAATTTAACTACTATATATTTATACACTATACTGCTATCTCACTATATTATGTCTTGAATATATTTAAACACCATACTGCCATTCCACTATCTTATGTCTTGTATATATTTAAACACTATACCGCCATTCCACAATTCTATGTTGTATATATTTAACGACTATATTGGCGGCATTCCACTGTTCTATCTTGTATATATTTAAACAATATACTGTCATTCCACAATTCTTTCTAGTATATAAATATATAAATGTATATACAATATACTGCCATTCCACTATCTTATCTGGTATATATTTAAACAATATACTGCCATTCCACTCCTCTGTCTAGTACATATTTAAACACTATAATGTCATTCCAGAATTCTATCTTGTACATATTTAAACAATATACTGTCATTCCACAATTCTATCTAGTATATATCTAAAGAGTATAATGCCATTCCCTTATTCCTTTTCGTATATAAAACACTAATCTGCCATTCAACTATTCTGTATATACAGTATGTAAACACTATACTGTCATTCCAGTACTCTATCCTGTATTAAATTGAAACACTGTTTTATCATTATCTGATATTATATTTAAACACTGTAACTGTTCTATCATCATAGATATTGGTATATATCTACAATCTATTTGCATAATTTTCTAGGAGTTACAGATCCTAGAATCACGAATGGTAGATTTAAAGTTTTAACGGATGATACGGCGATGATGATTAACGTGACACTTGCTGATGCTATGGTTATCCAGTGTAATGTGTCAAATAAGCACGGATATATCTGGGGTGATTCCTACTTAATAGCCTATTGTAAGTAGACTTTATTTATGTATTTTAGAGAAACAGCAATGGTGGCTGTGCACCGTTATAGAATACTTTCTATTGTGTATTTGAGAAGGTTTTTTTGTAGCCTACTTAGTTGGGTTTATTCTGAACATGATATATTTGTAAATTGATAACTTTTATCTTTTGATGAAAGTGACAAATACATGTATATAAGGATTAGAAAATCTCTTTACTGCTGTATAGAAATAAAATTGAAATGATATGGGGTTTAACGTCCTACGTTTCTGCCCTCCAATGCGTACACGGGGTGACTATAGTTTGTCCCTTCCCAGACCCCGATCCTACACTATTAATATGTCGGGGGAGGAGCACACTGGAAAATACCGATGAACTTTCTCGACCAATGCTGGGATCAAATACTTGGTCTCCAGATCAGTGAGCCAACGTGGCTTCCGTGTTCTATATAATTAAAATAGTAACAAATGAGGTACAATTCAATGTGGGTAGCTGATATTGACAAAAGGACATGAATTGGCGAGGCCCACAGGCTCCAGCCTGTAACGTAGAAAATATTTCTAAAATAACATTAGACCTAAGCTAAGTGTAATGTCTAAAGTCTGTGCTTTGAATCCGATTTCTAATTCAAGTGCAAATAACTCGTGAAAGGGATTCTCTTTCAGTCGATATAATAATACCAAGTTGAGAAACGGTTGGAATTAAATAATTGAGGTCAAAGTTCACTACTCTAGATTCCGTCAACCAGTGGTGAACTTTGACCCCAATTATTTAATTCCAACCGTTTGTCACCTTGGTATTATATATCGACTGAAAGAGAATGGGTTTCTTTTTTTAGTTTCGTCTCAAATTCGCATATCGGTCATCACTTGGATTTTTATAATTTAGCGTACATCTTATAAGAACTATATGTATAATATCTTTTTTTAGTTTTGTTTTCAGATGTTAAGTAAATTGAGGTCCCGTAAAATATAAAAGACGGAACATAAACCGTAACAAAACGAAAAACGAATCGATGCATTTGATTTTGAACAGATTGGTTTAGCGTTCTTCTCTGTGCATGCATCTGATGGCAACGTTTAATAAAACCCGATCAAAGCGCCCCATGTTATAAAATAATTGATGTGAATGCATTATAGAGGACAGGTGTCATATTCGATATATGTTTCAATGTTTTGATTGAATATTGTTTTAAACAAGATGGGGCAGAGAGTGGGTTGGGGACATCTGATACTATTGATTGTTATTATTTTACATTCCAGTTTCTCTAGAAATCTATATATACCATAGAATCATTTGGAGAATTTTATATTTTCTATTTATATTCCAGTACCAATGTATACCATAGAATCGGTAGGACAAGATTATATTAACGTTACCTGGTCATTAGACGACTTGGATAAAACAGGAACAGTGATGTTTGTAGAATACAGAAAACTAGGTAGGTATAACATAAATGTATAAATATATTGTAATTGATGAAAAGTTATCTGCCCTGGATGATTTCATTGGCACGTGGGTTGATTCTACGAACCAATAAAAACACAGTTTATATGCCACTCCTAGCGTCATTGTTTAAGTTCACCACAATGACGCGTATTGGTCGGTAAAAATAGCACTATACCGAGGATGATGCCTAGAAGTTATCTGCCCTGACACTGGATCCGTGTAAAACCCTTTTGTGTGCTTTCGTTCGTTTTTTTAATACATGATGGGATTTTTCGAATATTCATAAGATGGTTAATGATCCAGTCAAAAGTAAATGATATCGTACATGGAGCAGACTTTACTTACTTTTTCTAAAATACCACATAAAGGATTTTATATTTAACTAAATCACTAGACGTGAATTAAATCCTGCCTTCTGTTGCATTTCAGAATAAAATGAGCAGTTACATATTTCAACTACTATCGATCAACAATTATCTGTTAATAGATTTGGATTTGTTTTTCAAGTATATTTCTTTTTTATTCAGGTGACTCAGAATGGATGAATTCAACCGTTGATTATAAGAATACACGGACGACTATTCCCGATCTCGAACCTGGTGCAACTTATGAACTGCGAGTTGTAGCTATTTATAGAACACAGAGAGTGGAATCTAATATTACCCAGGTTGCAACCACGGCTGATGATGAAGGTTCGTCTTTTTCAAGGAGTATCCCTCAAAATGCATAATTATGTATGTTCTCCCAGAAGAGGAACTGGGTTGCCCATTGGTGGAAAGCTTTCCAATGTTTGTTCTAGGTCTGTTAACAGTTATAGAACCATATTGCCGTTAACACATATTGTACCTGTTAGCCTTCTGTACTTAAATAAGTACCAACAGGCAGGTATTTTGCGTCACACTAGGAACTTATAGCTATTATGGATATATATAACCTATTCATTGAAATTATCGTCTTGTTACACTAAGCTAAGTGTAATGTCTAAAGTCTGTGCTTTGAATCCGATTTCTAATTCAAGGGCAAATAACTCGTGAAAGGGATTCTCTTTCAGTCGATATAATAATACCAAGTTGAGAAACGGTTGGAATTAAATAATTGAGGTCAAAGTTCACTACTCTAGATTCCGTCAACCAGTGGTGAACTTTGACCCCAATTATTTAATTCCAACCGTTTGTCACCTTGGTATTATATATCGACTGAAAGAGAATGGGTTTCAGGCGAGTTATTAACCATGATTTAGAAATCGGATTCAGACCCTATTGTCGTGACAGATTTTAGACATTACACATAGTCATATGGCAAGACCGGGCTGGGAGTAATCTGGGCTTCACTGTTCATTTCTTATACGCAATAACATTCATTAATCCGGAGTAATAAATGCTACATACATATGAATTGTGTGAATATAGATCATGAACTAGTACAACCTATAAGAGTTCAATAGTTTTTATTTATTTCTAGTCGCCGGCAATAATTTAGCTTCGATCTTATTAGAATTGTATCTTTTTTTAGTTTCGTCTCAAATTCGCATATCGGTCATCACTTGGATTTTTATAATTTAGCGTACATCTTATAAGAACTACATGTATTATATCTTTTTTTAGTTTTGTTTTCAGATGTTAAGTAAATTGAGGTCCCGTAAAATATAAAAGACGGAACATAAACCGTAACAAAACGAAAAACGAATCGATGCATTTGATTTTGAACAGGTTGGTTTAGCGTTCTTCTCTGTGCATGCATCTGATGGCAACGTTTAATAAAAGACGATCAAAGCGCCCCATGTTATAAAATAATTGATGTGAATGCATTATAGAGGACAGGTGTCATATTCGATATACGTTTCAATGTTTTGATTGAATATTGTTTTAAACAAGATGGGGCAGAGAGTGGGGTGGGGACATCTGATACTATTGATTGTTATTATTTTACATTCCAGTTCCTCTAGAAATCTATATATACCATAGAATCATTTGGAGAATTTTATATTTTCTATTTATATTCCAGTACCAATGTATACCATAGAATCGGTAGGACAAGATTATATTAACGTTACCTGGTCATTAGACGACTTGGATAAAACAGGAACAGTGATGTTTGTAGAATACAGAAAACTAGGTAGGTATAACATAAATGTATAAATATATTGTAATTGATGAAAAGTTATCTGCCCTGGATGATTTCATTGGCACGTGGGTTGATTCTACGAACCAATAAAAACACAGTTTATATGCCACTCCTAGCGTCATTGTTTAAGTTCACCACAATGACGCGTATTGGTCGGTAAAAATAGCACTATACCGAGGATGATGCCTAGAAGTTATCTGCCCTGACACTGGATCCGTGTAAAACCCTTTTGTGTGCTTTCGTTCGTTTTTTTAATACATGATGGGATTTTTCGAATATTCATAAGATGGTTAATGATCCAGTCAAAAGTAAATGATATCGTACATGGAGCAGACTTTACTTACTTTTTCTAAAATACCACATAAAGGATTTTATATTTAACTAAATCACTAGACGTGAATTAAATCCTGCCTTCTGTTGCATTTCAGAATAAAATGAGCAGTTACATATTTCAACTACTATCGATCAACAATTATCTGTTAATAGATTTGGATTTGTTTTTCAAGTATATTTCTTTTTTATTCAGGTGACTCAGAATGGATGAATTCAACCGTTGATTATAAGAATACACGGACGACTATTCCCGATCTCGAACCTGGTGCAACTTATGAACTGCGAGTTGTAGCTATTTATAGAACACAGAGAGTGGAATCTAATATTACCCAGGTTGCAACCACGGCTGATGATGAAGGTTCGTCTTTTTCAAGGAGTATCCCTCAAAATGCATAATTATGTATGTTCTCCCAGAAGAGGAACTGGGTTGCCCATTGGTGGAAAGCTTTCCAATGTTTGTTCTAGGTCTGTTAACAGTTATAGAACCATATTGCCGTTAACACATATTGTACCTGTTAGCCTTCTGTACTTAAATAAGTACCAACAGGCAGGTATTTTGCGTCACACTAGGAACTTATAGCTATTATGGATATATATAACCTATTCATTGAAATTATCGTCTTGTTCATCACTCAAAAGATGCATTTCAAGGTTCATTTGTGTATGTTATTTGTTCATTTCAGTTAATAATTCCCGCCCGTTGTCTAATATTGAATGGATTCTAGGATTTCTCGGGGCTGTTGTTGCAGTTCATCAGAGGTATATCTTAAATAACTGTATCTAGATTGTTTAGATATAGTTGTTTTAAATTACTATCTCGAAGGGGCCAATTACTTTTGCGGTGAAGATAACTTCTTCATCAACTTAAAGATTTAGCTTATAAAAACAAAAGAGAAACTACGGTAAATGGCTATAACAATACGAGTAATTTTGAGACCGATCTGTTTTTAATAAGTGTAAGTTAACTTAATAGTGTGTAACCTCTTCAAATACCACTTAGGACGATTTTACAAAAACAATCTAGGTTGGGTACTATCATTGCTTGATGCAGATTGATGCAGATTAGAGAGGTCTATTTAAAACGACGCTTTGTAATAATCAGTAACTTTATTCCATAGACCTATGTGTTGTGTATATATATTGACTTTGATATACGTAAGTCGTTTCTAAGACACTAAAGATGGTGACTCGAAATTAATAGAAAGTAATGCTAACTTTGTTGGCCATAACTTCATCAATTTTTATGCGCCCACATTTCAGTGTGGGTGGATTATGTCGTCACTCTGTCCGACATAATACGTGAACGCATAGAGGCTACAGGGTTCAGTTACTTTCCGTTGCGAAGTTATTCTTCCATTTGCCGAAAACCTTATCAACACGATAGAGGCTGTAGTTTTTAACGTATGTTTTTTTTTAATTTTGTGAGAAGTATTGGAGTCCTGAGAGGATGGGCCCTATTGATATTCAATTATCTCTCTTCTTCTGATGACCGTTTGATCGCGACATAGGCAATAGTGTTTAACCTTGTGTACGTAATAGACGCCATAGGTTATGGCATATCTGGGGTTTTTTTTTTCAAATTTGGTTGGAGGCAAATGCAATGAGGCTTCTTCAAGGATTAGATTTCTTATCAACTTTGCTCATCATCCACCTTTTCCTATCGGATAAGCCACAGTTGGGACAAAGCTGGTGTGTGAGCATTTCAATCCTTTGTGTAGCTGTCTTAATCATTTCAGACCAATATGCTATTTGTTTGTTGATGGTGTGGTGTACTGTGTTTATTTTGTGGTCAGGAATATTGAGGCTTTAATATTGTTTTATTTATTTGCAGACACATCTGGTGAATTATTAAAAGCTTATTACCATACGAATACATATAGGTGAGATAAACAGTCTTGCTAGGCAATAGAAACTCGTCTCTAGGAATAATTGTAAAGAAGCTAAAATGAAATGAAATGGGGTTTAACGTCCTACTGTTCTGGTCCTAACCTGGGCTAATGAAGACGGGCATACGCCATACAGTGTGCTATGAGGGAAATTTTGCCCGGGCAGCGGCGCTACGGCCTACTCTTATATCGAATTCCAACTGCCAAGAGATCTTTTACGTGCACGCCAATGTGTACACGGGACCTCGGTTTTTCGTCCCATCCGAACGACTAGACAGCTGTCCTTGTCAGGCCCTCCATCTTGCATCACTGACGAGGGGAAACCACACCGGAAAATCTGGGTGAACTTTCTCGGCCAATGCAGGGACCGAACACCCGACCTTCAGGCTAGCGAGCCAGCGTCTTACCCACTTAGCCACATGATCCCCCGTAAAGAAGCTAAACCTGTAACTCAATATTATATATAATATTCTCTGATTCAATCAATATTTATGTTGTCATATAACCGCGAAAATATGGGATCCTAATATCCAATATTTAAGACACAGTGAACAATTTTAAAATCAGCTGATGACATATATGCTTTCGAGCGTCATTTGTAATGAGGCGCCATGATCAACGAGGCAACACGTCAGTGCTTAAGTGAAATGTCAAACCATACTCTCTGGTTTCCTTCCACTGCTAAAGACCCCTACGCGCAAGCGAATTATTGAAATAAAATTAAAAACCATATGTTAGTCCCGAAATGACCTAGTTTGTGTCGAGTGGATGTTAAACCCCATTTCTCTCTCTCTCTCTCAAACCATACTCCCGAAGACTGGACTAACCAGTCGCGAGCGACTGCCAATCCATTTGGATTGATCAAGTAATTCGACGAACTGATTAGAAAGTATAATAAAAGAGATTTGAAAAATGAATTTAAATCAGTTTATATAAACTCACATTACATTAATATGTGCTTTTAGACCCATTGTTGTCCTTTGGGGTTTCAAGTAATATAGATTTAGCTCTTATAACAAGAATGGCGTCTTTGAATGAATGTGGTATTAATACTAACAACATTTAAATCTGTTTAGTTTTCCTTAGCAACGTATGGGGGGTTGGTCACGTGCTTCAGATCGTAAGGTCATTTGCTGATACAAGTCATGAATTCCTTTCAAATTTTGTACTCGACACGAATGGCGTTGCTTAACTTTATGAGTCTTCTTACAAAATTTAAAGGAACTCGCGATCGATGTAATTAAACCATTATTTACATTTTTTTTTTTATTTCTTCTTTTCAGCAGCGATAAGAACGTGCCATCCAGAAAAGCCTTAACGTCCACAACTTTTAATTTTTATTAAACAGTTCATGAACAATGACTTCAACCAAAATTTACATATAAACTGTTAATGTGAAATACTTAAATTAGAAAAATGTAGTGGCCTTGGAAGAAAATTCGTGATCTAGAAGTGCGTTTCTCTACCGACACGAAATCCAGAATATTCAATTTAGTTCTTCGATTCTGTAACGATAAGCAACGTCACACTATCGTGCAAAAGATCCATATTGCTGGGCAGATATTTCCCCTATGCAATTTAATCTGAAAACCAATATTATTTTACTTAACTATAAAGCGTAGGTTCCACTAAATAGATGTCTTGGTTGGTGTTGGGGTAGGCCAATCTGATTAAAATATAGATCTATATTTCGTTTCTTTTTTTTATAATTTCAATGACCTACACTATATGAAGATCTGACTAGTTGTTGTGGGTATGTCGCCTCAGAGGTCATGCGAGCGGCTTTTGACCCTATGACGCCAGACATTTCATTAACCAATCAGCATTGATGTTTCTAGTGGATTACCCACAGTTCCGTGCACATCAAAAGTTCGCCGCAACAGACCATTTCATTGGCTAATCCCTCGCATCATCCAGAACACGTCGATGCTAAGAATTCTTAGGGAGCCTAGTGTAGTAAAGACAAGTAAAACAAAATTTTGAACTATAAAAACGAAACGAAATAGGATCTGTGTTTTAATCAGATTGGGATAGGGCGCCCAATCTCATCTTGGGATGCATTTTCTTTCTATAACCGCGTTTACTTCGAACTAAACTTAAAAGAGGAATTGGCGCATTATTGGTGTCAGTCGCTGCAGTATATCGTTTATCAGTTATATTTTAAGAAAATATTTTTTTATTACATTATTATTATTTGCTTAATGTATATCGTAAATTGAACAGTGTCGCAGTAAATCGTTTATAAATTTAGCTTTAAGGAATTATTGTCCCCCGCCTTTCGAAGAAATGGGACTATTAAAATGGGTCGGACCGTCTGCTCGTCCTTTACATTTTTGGGACACAGTAACTCTCCTTCTAATTGAGCTAGAATGGCTTAAAGTCCATCACCAAATCTTCAAAGAAAAATGAAACCAGTATAACAATGCTATCGCGCATGCTAAAACTCAATTCTTGAAAGAGAAGATTAACAATGCTACCGGTAGTAAAGTATTATTCAACATCTGCAAAAGTCTCACTAAAAATTCGTTTCCAGACGCTTTATGCCATTATGCTATAAAACATACCAACTCCCGATTTCTTTGTCAAACACTTTACAGAGAAAATTGAGACAATAAGACAGGGTTTTCAAATTGAAAATGATTTTACTGACCACAATGACCAGTAGAATGGTTATATTCCGCCGTTCGAGATTAAAGGGGTGTCCGCAGACTACCACAAGAAGTTAATCCAGAAAGCTCCAGCAAAATCATGTGAATTGGATGTATTACTTACATGGCTTTTCAAGAAATTTTCCTGTGCAAGTACAACATATTTACTTGGTCTTATCAATGACACAATAAGCTGATCAGAATTTACCCACAGTATTTACGACAGCCTATGCGAAACCACTACTGAAAAAAACGAACCTTGATCAAGATATACTGAAAAATTACAGACCAGTTTCAAATCTATCTTTCATTTCTAAAGTTATTGAAAAGATCATTGCGGATCAACTGAAAGACCACATGAATCAACATAATTTACTAGAACCAGATCAGTCTGCTTACAGAAATCTGCATTGTACCGAGGCAGCCCTAACAAGGGTTCACAATGATATTCTTCGGGCCATCTTTTTATTAAGTATAGAATGAATAAAACATGTGAATATACGGACTATTTCTATTTTTATCTTGTTCTCTTATCAATAGATATTCAATTACTTTTTTGAATTGTCAGATATCCTTTCACAGTCTCACATAACAACTTTTGGTCTTCGAAGGAATTATTAATGAGCAGAAATTCGCCTTGTATCTGTTATCACTCATCACTTCAGTCAGTTATATAGAAGAATAATGCGTGTTTTCCTTTTGTGTTTGTCACTTCCTGTTGTAGAGACCTTCATTACGCGTCAATCGTAGACATGATCTCTGTGTTAAAATTATATTTGGAACGTGTTTAACAGTTCTATCACATATGCGATAATGATTGACACCAATAGTAGAGTGGCCCACAGATTCAATTATCTGTACTATATAAATTGACCTGTTTTAACAGCATGTTGTCACGCGGATCAAAACTTCGTTTATGAGAAAAGTGCTCTCACGGGCTCGCTCGTGCACTGTAAGCAGCAAACCGTCGCCCAAAATAGACATTCACGTGACAATATTCATTCACTTATTTATCAATGAAGCCATGTAAAAAATTATTCTTTACTCGTTGGACTTTTAAAAATAAGTAGTTACGAACAAGATTAAAATTTTGGCTAAAACTCGGCGATTTAATTTCTAAGTTAGTTGATTGTAACCAATGACGTTTATATTGTACCGGTTCTCGGTTCAGAGTCAACTCATGTAGTTTCGCCATTTTTCTATCTTTTAAATCCACTCTCGTGGCAACATACCGACACTGCCAGACTGTGAAAGTTACTTTTATTTAACCGTAAAACTCTGTTGTTAGTGGGCGCTTTAGTTACTTTAGAAGTTACATTGTTGCTAGCTCTAAATACGCAGAAAAAATTTGAGACTGGAAATAAATTGAAAGTAATTATTTTCCCTAGTCTCGATTAACCAGACGTGTATGATTAAAATAAAATTACGGTAATGGTCACAAGACTCGGATTCTAATCATTTCAGGGCGCTGCGAATTTGGACTCCGGTTTTGTGTCAAATTTAATTGATTGTTTCGTAATTATTATGTGCGTCTTACTTTCGAGAACAATAGCTATAAAATAGAAATTTCCAGATTGATACATAATACGACACAACCAACCATAAGTGGTGATTCAAACACAAAGGATATATTTAAACTTAAATTTCTCTAACATTTCACTGTTGTAGAACTCCCAACTTATTATGTAGTCATTGTCATGCCGGTTGTTTTTAATAACAGAATTTACCAGTCATATAACAGATCAAAGAATTTTTCGAGACGTCACGTCTCGACTTCTATTTTTGGATTATCTGGGGCCACAAACAGCCCAATCATATCAAAAAGCATGCAGTTCCACCTTGAAATGGGTTCAATTGATTTACAGTTTATTCTATAATTTATAACACAGTTTAGAGCACAATGTGTAGGAGTCGCATTTTTGACTTCTAAGTAGATTCTTATACGGAATTCCGGATGCAATGCTAGACATTTGGACCACTGCTGCCGAACCGATTTCAAAATGCTTAAGGCTGCTTTTCTTTGCGCATGTTGTGTGCTCCTCTGTTATTGATGTGTATGATTTTTATATTTGTGATAATTATTTGAAACAAAATAGGATTATCATAAAGGATGTAAACGTTAAAAAAATCAGCTCAAAATACAAACATCTATCTCTCTCTCTTTCTCTCTCTCTCTCTCTCTCTCTCTAACTAAGGGCTGCGCACGCGTACAAATTTTAAATCCAATCGTTAATTGTACGTACGTAAAAAAAACGAAGAAAGCCGACTGCGGAAATTAAGAATTCGTTTTCCAGAGCAAAATTTGAAACTTTGATGTGACCAAGAAACATAACTCTTTTTAATGAAAAAATCAACCGCTGTAACGCTAATTGGGCGATCAACTTATCCATATAATTAGAAAGTCCCATTCAAATGGCCAAATCACACAAATATCCAACTTAGCAATAGTTTAATTGTTAATGAATGATGATTTTAATGGTAAGTCTTATCATATTTGTTAAAAAAAGCCCCAAATATAGCTCGTTTATTGGATTTTTGTTATTTGCACGAACCACTCTACCAATAGTGTACTTTAAACAACAAGCTATCTTACCTAAACCAGCAGATAGAATACTAGGAACTCCAACGTCACATAAACAATCTAGTCCTAAACCTAGTAAAATTAAAAGCTACAATCACCATTATAAGTGGTCGAGAGTTTCAAAAGGTCCAGATAAACTTGATCTGTAAACTTTAATACTTATCTGTGACTTTTAAAAAATCAAGGACTGTGTTGAATTATTATTTTAAATTGCGTTGATAATATTTGTACATGTCAGTGAAATGTATTTTTATTTTTAACCTCCATAGCTCATATCATGTAATAGGATTTTAAAGTTGAATCATGGTGTGAACTATACACTCCTGTCTGTGTCCTTAGTGACCTCATTTATGACCAATCACCGATCAGTATTATGTAGTTACGTGTCATAAATAGTATTAGGTTCAACTGTGCACCCTTTATCAACGTTTAAAATATCTTACAACCTGCACTCGAAGAACGGGCGAATGGGCAATACAGTGTATGAAAATGTATAGATTGCGCAATTCATTTAATTGTCCCTCGATGAATAGATTTAGACTAAGTCACGACGGCCTAAACAAACTGCCAAAGTTAAACTAAATAGTATTAAAAAGTGACAACAAAGATCTTGTGTTATAAAAATGCTAAGCTGTATTGACAAATGTTGGTCTATGCCGTTGAAAACTAGTTATTTCTTTTCATAAACCCCCTAAATTGCTATGTAGCTTCATGAGAAAGTGTCATTTATATGTTAAAGCCTCATCGTAGTAATTCGGAATCAGCGGGGATCAAACACTTAAAATTCGCGCCTGGAGGGAATTTCAAATTGATAAAAGTTCTTACAGTTTTGTAAGAATGCTGTTTGAATACTTAATCTGATATGTACGTTTGTTTGTGATTTCTGCGTAGTGTGTCCTATCAGTAGATTTGTTTTGTGTAATTGTGTTTGGTGCAGTCCCCTTGCACTTACTATTAGAATGCATTTCAAACCTGCTCCGAATGATTCTTGCACATTCCGGTGTATTTGCTGTCTAATGTAGCTCGAATGCAGTTGGAATACAATAGAATATTCAAAGTGCAGTCAGAATATTCACAGTGCTGTCCATGAGCGTGGATTTAGGGGGGAGGGGCGCCGAGAGATCCGTCAGCACTCTGCGCCGTATCAAAACTCGGCTGCGCAACTCCATGACGCAAAACCGACTGAGCCACTTGATGGCGTGTGCGGTGCATAATAACCCCCTTCATGTCGTCAAGATATTCAAAGGTAACAGTCCTGATCGTAGAACGAACGTCTTTGGACGATTCACTTAACTTCATGAACAATTAATATTTATGCAGCTTTGATGTAGGTAGTCAGTCTTTCCATATTGTCATCATATTACCCCTAGTTACAGCCTTCATCGAAATATCACTGGTACAGTAAACTGTTCGTAATTATTTATTTAGTTTGGTAATGAAATGTTCCAGATTCCAGGGTTCGTCCGCCCCCCCCCCCCCAAGTTATGACAAATCCACGCCCTTGGTGCTGTCAGAAGAAGCTGTCATCCTGGTTGGACACAGGCTTTGTGATTTTCTTTGCCATCGCTATGCGGGTAATATTAGGGCTATTCCGTTTATGACCGTGTTTAATTACAATTGTAGCACAAATTAGGAATTTATTATAAAAAAAATGATAAAACACAATTCACAAAGTGGCCTTAATATATGGGGTTTGATCCAGCCGTTGGTTTTGGACTATTATATCGGCCCTTAGGGCTACCATGCCCTCTGAACTGTTGGGATATCGAAGATGCATTATGTATTATTTAGATAAAGAGATGATCCGTGTTGCTATATAATTCAAAAAGAGATAGTACAAAATGAATATTGAATATTTCATTTAAATTACTTTATTTTGAACGAAGTTATTTCTTATTAAAGATGTAGCGTAGATCGTTTATTAACTACGTCTAGTTTATCAATTGTATCTTTAAAATTTCTCGCGGGTGTTCAAATCCATTTAAGTCTCGGCCATCTAGAGGGTTGATTAGTGCCGTGTCGCCATAATAAAAGATTAAATAATAGTTTATATAAATATAGATTTAGCTTTTGCATAATGCGTCTTTAACATAATATTTTTTTTTCTTTTTTGGAGGGGGGGGGGGGGTAGTTCTTTATTTGATGCATAGAAAGATTTCAATGAAAGAATGCGTAGAAAAACATAACACTTCAACATACCTTTGTCTGTCTTTATATTTTAGGGTTGTGTTTGCCGTCATGAGGGCGGAGACGAGGGGAGGGGTGTTTTACATTTCAACCAGTGAATCAGGTGAAAATCGCAACCGGCGAGCTCATAACTATTTCTGTTAATAGGTGTTAGTGTAGATTGTATCGACAAATATAAGTATAAGTATTGGCGTTTGTACATTTAAATATAGTGATATAACTATAATTTGGGTCGTTTGTATATACAAATATAGTGATATAACTAGAAGTTCATAATTATATACGACCACCTTTATGGAGTGGCCGTAAGAGACCCCTGCCCCATTGCTTTGCTTCCGCACATAAATACAACCAAAGACTTTAACCGACAATGTAAACGAGTCACGTGGCTGGCCCTTTAAACACATAAATTTTAACGCCATTCGCTTATTCACGGCTAGACTATTTCAACATATATTTTGTCTACGCTGTCCGGTTACTATAAATATATGTGTACGTATGTATGTATGTATGTATGTATGTATGTTTGTTACCCTGTACATTGACCATTCGTGCGTTATATTATGGAGACTCTAAACTTGAAATTTAAAAGAATGTGGATGTTTTTATTTGTTATTTATCTACCTGGTTTATTAGCAAGTAAGTATATTAGAAACCTATAACGATATTTTACTCAAATGAATACACCTGTTTTGATTAATAGAGTTGATCGATAAACTCTTAACAGACAGGTTATGTAGATGAACGTCGTAATAATCCGTCTTGACAATGGGCAATGACTGCTAATCATTCATTTAACGAATACTTACATTTTAAAGCAGGGATATAATGCTGTATATTAAGCTTCCTGTCTCATTCGTCACAGACAGCAACGACATTATGAATGAACCAAGATTTGGTGTCAATATGGCTGCAAATTCCTTGCACGCAGTTTGGTTGACTACGGAAAGCAATTGTGGCCATAATTTTATCCGATCACCGAGTTGTTCGCAGAGCGGTTCGTGTTAAAACTTTGAAGTCCCAGGGCGTGATTTGAGGGATTGTATGTGATATCAATCTCGGTGGAAGTGGAGGTTAAACCCAAGTTAAGTCAAGTCAGGATTGGCTATGGAAGGAATTGTGGTCATATGTTTATATGAAAGATATGGAAACAGTACTGATGACTGAGTAAAGTGTTCAAAAATAGTATTTTTCGACAAATTCTTAATAACCCTGGTCTAATCAAATCAAATGAAATATTAAGATCGAATGACCAAGTAGATCAAATATAATCGTAGTACCGTTATATCAAACGAAATTGTAGATTTACCATTCACCTATTATTTTCCTCTCTTGGTCTAGAAAACACCAGGATCGGACAGCTATGCATATTTTCAGAGGAAAATGCTACAGAAGGAGGGGTAGTCTCTATCCAGTCAAGGACGTGTTTCGCCCCATGCGAACGATTATACGCTGGCCCTTGCCAGGTCCTCTATCTTGTACCACTACTATAATAACCTACTCCAAAAATTGTCAACATTGGTGTTTTGTCACCACACATCAAAACCTACAAAATAAAGTATGCTCCACGAATTTTACCTACGGATCGGACTATTTCTTTAATCTCAAATTATGTATTGATTGTACAATTACTTCTTTGTCAGATATCCATACTGGTAGAATAATCACCACCATCTTGGAAAATAGCAACCATCTGGACTACATAGAGGATATTTGTCGTTTTAGAGTGAATAACATATTTTATTTCATCGAGAAGCAAGAAACCTTTTCTTGCTTAGAGATGAAATAAAATATGTTATTCACGACAAAACGACAAATGTTCTATTTATTTTATGATTTTACAATCATTTTAGGCAAAAACAACATGGACTACTTTAGCCAGTGGAATAACACTTTTATTTCACTGATAAAACGCGGTATTCCACTACTGATCATAAAATAATAAGTATTTATACAATGAGGTCATAAATATGTACATCATAACATGCACTTGATCAAAGCGATGATGACAAACCCTAAGTATTTACAGGGAAAAACGATCTAAATGAATACATATAAAATGAACTAGATCAAAGCGTTAATTGGCATTACTCAATTGCTAAAATGGTTTTAAGTAATTAATGGGTTATACAACGCAGTCCGTTACTATTATCTTAGACTAATGTCTTATTGAATGCATAAATAAGAGTTACATGTGATGAGTATACCAAATACTACAATGATTATAAATAAATAATAACGAATTTCATCATAAGGGACTAATCCGATTTACATAATACTTTTGATGAATGACAATATAGTGAATGACGTGTGGTTGGAGTTAAGTACTTCTACTTCAGACCATCGCATCGTGTAAATCTTGTTCCGCAGATGTTCAGCGACTGCATATTGGTTGTCCTTAGATAGAGATTGATCTTCCTCAATTCTTTTGGTTATGACAGGAACAGGGGTGGAATAGAGACGGGGCAAAAACGCATGTTCATGTTTACACATTAGTGTGCGCGTAAAAAAAATCCCTTGATAGTTGGAATTCGAAATAAGAGTAGGTTGTCCGGTCAAAATGGTCCTTGTGGCTCAATGCATGGCGAATGACCGTCTTCATTAACCCGGTGGGGGGGGGTGAATGGACGAATGGTTAGCACGCGCGCGCTGTATCATACGGTCTGTCATTGAGTCAACTGGCGGGGTTTCGATTCCCCGGTTGGACGTGACAAGAAGTAGGGTCGCCTATCCAACCTTATGGTTTTTCTCCGGGTCCTCCGGTTTCCTCCCCTACGCGCAAGCAAATTATTGAAATAAAATTGAACCATGTGTTAGTCGAGTGGACGTTAAACCCCATTCTCTCTCTCTCTCTCTCTCTCTCTCTCTCTCTCTCCTCTCCCCCTCTCTCTCTCATTAACCCGGTTGGTGCAGAAAAGTAAGATGTAGCGCAGCTGTCTGGGTTAAATTTCCCTCAAAAAACACCGTATAGCGTATGTCCATCATTCTTTATTAGCCCCGTCGATGCACATAATAGAACGTTAAACTCCGTTTATCTTCGTTACTTTCTACGTTCCATGCTTACATGTAATTTATGTAACCCTGCATTAATATATCATTAATCTAGGCTAATGTAATACAGGCATTGTTAAAACGTTTTTATTTTACTTTCAGGTTAATTCATTCCCCTTCATTGTACCTCAAACGAAAAACATGATTTCTTTCGATTCTGAGGCCGCGTGATTCTTCCACATCTATATAGATTTACAATTATTTTTCAGGAACACGCCCCCCTGGTATAAATATACAACCAGACTATTATGTTTATTATAAAGTTGGTGAAAAAGTAGAGATGCCATGTGTAGCTGATGGAGAACCTCAACCAAAGTATGTTGAAAATTCTTTATAACTATCCAATTATTTGATTTGATAAAAGTTGTTTATTACTAGCAATGTCTGTGTAGTTTATGTCTTGTTCTCAGGTTTGTATTATCAGTCTAGTTGTGTGTAGTACGGTCCTCCTGCAATTATTATCAATTGGACTTATAATATAATTATGTCGTTCAACTAGTAATCACCTATAATAGAATTGTTGCTTTTTTATAATAATCTATCACTTTGTTCAGAAAGGTTGTCTGGATTTTAACAAAAGTCTAAAGCAGACGCTTAAACTTTCAATATAAGCGTTGCATAATGTGATTTAATGAATACTAGTTATGAAAAGAATATCCTGCTCTAAGTAGGCTAGTTGGTGGATATGTAGGTCATTTTTAAAAAGATATTCAAAATTAAAAACAATTTGGTTTTTTTTTCATGTGAGAGTCATAATGCCTTTAGAGAACGTTTTATTGTCTGTTTTAGATTTATCTACTTATGTACCACAACCAATATTGATCTGCCAATCAAAATCATTAAATCCAAATACTAAGATGTATTTAGCTGGTTCAGCTACTTGTAGACGTTAATCTTATCTAAATTAAGAGTCACACATCAGCTAATGGCAGAGTTATTGTCCTTGTCATCTACACTTGTAATCATTGTTCTACATGCCAAAAACTTCCTAGAGACATCATTTATTTGTCGATTTATGTTTCCAGATTTTTTGAGTGTTTTTTTTTTAAAATTAGAAACTAGCTGGATAAAAGAGTGAACACTTTGGAGTCATACACCAATTAATTACACAGAGCTTGCCCTTGTCATGATATGCTTGTAATCTCGCTCCCGAGTATAGTTTTTGAAAAATAATTCCAATTTTATTGCCCTTCTTGTTGAAATATAAAGCCGACCTTATATTTTCATTTTGACTTTAAAAACTTGCGGTTGCTATATGTCAAAGTTCTCAATGAATTTTTGTAGAATTGCTGATTGGGGCATATAGTTCAACCCTGTTAATAATACGAATGTGTAAATCGTAAACCACAGATTATTGTATAATATGGCACAAACGTGTTTTGCGATTAAACTTTTCGATCCCTATTGTACTTTTTATAGCCGTTGAATGTGATACAGGAGAGAGTTCTATGGAATTTTGAAAACTTGGTGGAATTGTTACACACTTGCCCAGTAGAATTAGTTGACATTGATTATAGGGGTTATTGTTTATGTCAAAATCATATAGAAATTCAGTTTGTCATTAAAATTACCTAGCTGCTGGTGGGCTACTGTTTTGTTGTCTGGAAAACTATGTTTTGAATTAGATTGTAAATAATGACTGTTGGTATTTTAACAGGTATACATGGACAAGAAATGGAATAGATTTTAACCCAAGCCCTAATGATGATCGTATGGTGCTGTTACCCAATGTAGGTACAATAGTAATCAACAGACCAGAAGATAAAGATGAAGCCTTAGATATACACCTTTTTCCGAACACATTGTGAACGCTATATCGACAATAGTTTTTAAACACATTGTTTCCAAATTTGGCGTAAAGCATTGTGGTCATGAGAGGACGAGCAGGGGCGGATCTATGAATTTTGAAAAGGGGGGTCGCCGCAAAATGAGGGCACTGACCGCGGAGACGGGGCACGCCGCTGAGAAATCGTTGAAAAAGAGCCTTAAAATGGAGCAAAAAAGCCAGTTGAACACGCGACTCGAAAATTGTCAAGGCGAGCGAGGCATTATGATGGGAAAAAAGACGAATCTATTCCTTAGCCACTTCACTATTTAAGCCTTGTAACTTGTACTTTGTACTGTTCACACATGAAACAATGCTACATCAAGTTGCAGGGGCGTGCTGGCAGGGAGTTTAGGAGGACGGTGTCCCCCCAGGCCCCCATTAAACAATAAGTCCACCCGTATAAGCGGGCCCCCCTGAGAGCTCTAATTTTCACGCGGAATCCCCTCAAAAAATTGAGAGTGCGCACGCGAAAAATCATACATACACAACGATTAGTAATATATATTACTAGCAGGATACCCGGCTTCGCTCGGGGGTCATAACTCCGAAACCGGAAGTGGTAGACTAACGCCACCTGGCCTATGTTAGTCCCCGGTCCGAGCTACCCCTATACCCCAAATTTCAGACTCGGGGCAGATGTAGCCGCCAACCCCGAACAGACTTCGCTCGGGGGTCATAACTCCGAAACCGGAAGTGGTAGACTAACGCCACCTGGCCTATGTTACTCCCCGGTCGGAGCTACCCCTATACCCCAAATTTCAGACTCGGGGCAGACCTAGTGTAGCCGCCAACCCCGAACAGACAGACTTCGCTCGGGGGTCATAACTCCGAAACCGGAAGTGGTACACTAACGCCACCTGGCCTATGTTACTCCCTGGTCCGAGCTATTCCTATACCCCAAATTTCAGAGTCGAGGCAGACCTTGTGTAGCGGCCAACCCCGAACAGACCGGCTTCGCTCGGGGGGTCATAACTCCGAAACCGGAAGTGGTAGACTAACGCCATTTGGCCTATGTTACTCCCCGGTCCGAGCTACCCCTATACCTCAAATTTCAGACTCGGGGCAGATGTAGCCGCCAACCCCGAACAGACAGACTTCGCTCGGGGGGTCATAACTCTGAAACCGGAAGTGGTAGACTAACGCCACCTGGCCTATGTTAGTCCCCGGTCGGAGCTACCCCTATACCCCAAATTTCAGACTCGGGGCAGACCTAGTGTATGATACCTAGATTTCTCCCAGAAGTGCTTGCCAGCGGAGCGCCACGCGTTTGCGGCAGCCTAATTTTCAAAATTTTCGGGGGGGGGGGCACACACACCGCTGCGCGAGCGTGGCGCTCGCGGGCTCCGCGCTCAGTAACTCGGCCATTATATTGGCGCCCCAACCACTCTGCTGCACCCCCACTTTTAAAATCCTACCCCCTTTTGCCGAAATCCTTGATTTCGGACCCAAACGTCTTAGATCATAGCCGCGTTTTTAGCTTGTGGTCCCTCGAGAGGTCACAATTTTCATCAGATTCTAAAAACCGTACAAACATATCACCGTTACACCCTTATGGTGGAGTTCGACTTTTTGTGAAAATCGGACCGAAACTGTCTGAAAAAATGGCCGCTAATCGTACGCAAATAGTGTAAAAGTATGTAATACCAAGGTTGTGGACCCTCAAGAGGTCACATTTTTGGTCCGATTTTGATGAAACTTAAAATATATGTTTATACCTGACAGATCACAGTTACTTTCGATATTCGTGCATTTCAGACCGTAACGTCATGGATTATGGCCCCTGGTTGTACGACAAATCCCGTTTTAGCGCGGGACCCTGTAAAGGTTACAATTTTAATCCGATTTCAAAAAACATTTACTAATATCTCACTGTTCTACCCTAATGACGGTTGAGTTCGAATTTCTTGAAAATCGGGCCGAAACTGTCCAACAAAAAGGCCGCCTCCAGTACGCAAATAGTGTACAAGTATGTAATACCATGGTTGTGGGCCCTCTACAGGTCACAATTTCTATCCGAAGTTGGTATGTTTATATCCGCAAGATCTCGGTTCCTTTCGGTATTAGGGCATGTCGGACGGTAACTTCCTGGATTATGACGCCTGACTGAACGAAAAATTGCGTTTTTAGATAATGAATCCTATAGCGCACACTTTTATTTGATTTGAAAATCGTTCATATATCACCGTTACACCGTAATGACAGCTGAGTTCGATTTTCGTGTAAATAGTGTTAACCAAGACAAAACTATACAGTCACCCTGCACGTTTCAAGTCAGTAGCTTGAAGCGTATATATGGTATTAGTGTCAGTGGCTTGTGGCACGAAGTAACAGTATATTGTCGCATACATAATATATTATGTCAACGCTTGGGCGACATAATATATTGTGTTGACGCTCCAAGCGTGTTAGCATATTAGACCTGTAGACTCAGTGGAATGTACGCGTCATCAGAGCCATAGAAAGTGTCCCTGTAAATAAAAGAGGGCATCCTTATCAGAAAAAGGGCACCTGTGATGTCAGAATTTCAAAAAAGGGCACTTTTCTTTCGGATTAGGGTTAGGGTTAGGGTTAGGACACAGAAAAGAGAGAAAAAACAGAAAAGAAAAAAACAAGCATTCATTGGTTATCAAAGCGCCAATTAAATCTATCGTTGCAAGTTCATGCCTAGTCACCTCCATCCTAGTTCCAAGCGTTGACATAATATATTATATCGCCCAAGCGTTGACATAATATATTATGTATGCGACAATATACTGTTACTTCGTGCCACAGGCCACTGACACTAATACCATATATACGCTTCAAGCTACTGACTTGAAACGTATCGCCTGATACAGTTATATGGGACAACAATCACTGGTTTATTATACACAAGCACGACGTTTCGATAAGTATTCTCTTATCGTTATCAAGCACAATGACATTTAGTAAACTTGAGCTCTAGTTTACTAAGCTGGCGTACCAAGGTTGTGGACACTCTAGAATTCACAATTTTTGTCCGATTTTGATGAACGTTAAAATTTATGATGGCAACTTCTTGTTTTACTTCAATCGGCACAGAGAAACTGGGTAGTGTTTACAGAAAACATTTAAAAATTCCAGGCAAAAAATTAGCACTATAAAAGACTTTCAAACTGTGTATATTTCAAATTTGTAGTTAATACCAGTGAGATATGACATCCTTTGTAAGGTGGAACACACCCTCCATGGTTTATTGCAAAAGTCAATTTACTGTTCAAACCACTCAGATTTCAAACCCTTTAGAAAGTAAAACAATGAACAAACATATTTGTTAGAAAAATGATTTATTCGATTAAAAAAAAAATCTAATTTTTTTTACAATACCAATTTAAAATAGTATTTTAATGGAATGTACTATATAGTAATTCTGATTATAATGGGATTATTTACAAATGATTTTCAATAATTTCAGGTGATGTAAACCTAACTCATATTAAATATTGAGTAATTTAAACCTCTTTTACCTCAAAGATAACAAATTAAATAAATCGGCTTGGTCTTAAATGTTTATTTTTTTAATAAAATATAATGTGTAACCAATTTAACAATGATTTCTTGCATGATATATCCATCATGAAAACGAAACAATTTATCTGCGTTCAGAATTTCATTTTTATTTCTATTGAAACTGAAATGAAATTTTTGATAATTGTACAGAAACATTATGCTTTGCATTTGGTTTCCCCTGTTCTAATGTAATATTTAAAAAAAAAATTAAAATAAAATGATTATGTTATTATATAAGCAGTAAATATAAAAAATACAGGTATAAACAATCTATAGGCAAGGAATGTTATGATATACATGATATTATAGAATATATACAATGTGTAAATTTAATACTCCTGAGGGCTTCAGACCTCTTTGATTTAGGTCAAAATTAAAAGTTGAATTGTACTTTTGGAGTGATCAGGTTCACATTAAGCAGATTGTTTGGTTAGCAACATTCATCTTCAGACACCAAGATTTACAAATGTGTGAATTTTTGTAAATAATACAAACTTAACCAAGGTTTGATTCACAATGACAAGGTCCAATTCACTTTTACTGAATGCAAGACATATGTTATTTCAACTTAATTAATGGTACACAAGTCTAATACTATTAAATTATCATAACATCATAGTAAACAAAATTTAGTATGTCTACAAATTTCATCTTGTTATTAAATAAAACAGCAACACTTCTCAATCAATATAACTTGAATTGCCAGACATATATAAATTGTTAAAATGTAGCAAAACAATAAAACAAAGTCGAAAATCAAAGAAGTTCATTCAAACCTAAGGTATACTTATTGAATCACAATTTTCTTTACATAGTTCTACTATATGTTACACTATAACATTTGGTAAAAGAATTGATTTAACAGGAATATAAATGTTTAAAATTCAAGACCTGATTCGAGATTCAGAATGTTTTGAATGGAAAGGTCTGAAAACATTAGTGGAACCTCGACTTTATTAAAAAAATAATTATTTGTTAAGCAATAAAAAGCACTAATTAACATAAAAATATGTAAAATCTGTTAAATTCATCATTTAAAAATAAAATTCTCATCAATGAACTCATTTGTGTAGTTTATCATTTAACATCAATAAGACATTGGGATACTTGATGTTCTGATGTTTTGAATTGGCAAAAATAAGAACCAACTAAATGAAAGTTCTGGCTGTCCCAAATATGTTGTGGTGTAATGAAAAACAATTAACATGTTTCAGCTCCATTAATGGGTGAAGATCATTTCTATTCCGTTGATTCCTAATTTACCACACAACAGTCTTGTGTTTCCTTGTTTGCCAGTGCTCAAGAGATTGATTGATAAGACTTCAACAATGGCACATTTAATATAATATCTTTTCTTTATAGTTGCTGATCAAAAGATCTTCTACCCTATTTACAAATAATTTTCCTAGCAATAAGTTAGTTTTACATTGCTCTTTGAAATTTGAGGAGTACTCCTTTTCAATAATCGATAAAACTAAAATAAAACAATGCATAGGATAAACTTAATCACATGAAAATAAAATATTGAGAACGCAACTAAACTATTTTATCAGTACATTTATATTTGAAATGTAGACTATGTTTGATCACATAACAAAACTAATGATTCATTTGTCTGAGAAAATAATTCAGAACCATGGCTTTAAAAAAAGGTCTATAATAAGGCAACCACTTTGTAATTCTATATTTTTTTTATAATGTACATGTTACTATAGCAATTAATCGGGAGAAATACCCAGAATTCTATGTTTGCATCCAATGATAATAGATCATAAATAAATTCTCAATGGTCAAGTTTAGAAATAAATCAATTAATCTTAACTCACAAAAATAGTGGACTGATCTTCAAGAAATTTAAAATAAATTCGCTTTTGCAAACTTTGAGTTCAGTTCATTTTTCGATATAATTTATTTATGTCCACTTGAACATCAGATTTAAACAAAGGACGATGATGCGCCACCTGCACCTCCTGAAGCAGGTCTCGGGGGAGGTACGTCATCATAGCGATCCGAATAACGACTGGAACGGTCGCTATAAGCAACTTGATCATCGTAGTTGTTTCTTGGAGCACCATAGTTGTCAAACTTGGAGGGTTCACGAGTATCAAAGTCTGGGTCATAGGCTCCAGAATTCTGACGTTGATAATCATAAGGATCATCACGATATACCTCCCTTTCTCTGTCATATTCTTCATAGTGGTGATCCCTATCACCATAACTGTCTCGTCGCTCATCATAGCTGTCTCTTTTGGAGTAACTAACTGGTCTGTCTCCATAACTATCACGCCTGTCATCATAGCTGTCCCTTCGATCATAATCCCTATTGCTGGGTGGTGGATCATCTTTATTAATGCTGTCATGATCACGATCATGATAGCTGAAATATATTAACAAAATTCTTTTCATCATTGCAATGTATTATAGTTCTTAGCAAATTGAACCACAAAGTGAAACAGAAATGAAAAATGCATTAAAGTGCAGTAAGACAATCGATTGATTCAACAAAATATATCATCCGTAGCAACACAATCAATTCATTTCTTTCAAAGTGCAATAGTCTCAATTTTATTGATCAAATCAACTCTTAATACAATCTATACAAACGTAACGATCCAATTTCTGATCCAGTTAATTATTTTATACCAATTTAAGAGAATAGTTAACTGATGGGGATGGTTGACTGGAGCATTTTCTACATCTAACAAAACTTCATTAACTAGTGTTCTAGATTGATACGGTTGTGAGAGAAATGCTAAGAGAAAGGGAGAGAGAAAGAAATGGGGTTTAACGTCCACCCGACACAAACTAGGTCATTTCGGGCCTAACACATGGTTCAATTTTACTTCAATAATTAGCTTGTGCGTAGGGGTCTTAAGCAGTGGGAGGAAACCGGAGGACCCGGAGAAAACCCACGAGGTCGGACAGGCGACCCTACACCTTGTCACGTACAACTGAGGAACCAAAACCACACCTGTTGACTCAATGACAGACCTTATGATACAGCACACACATGCTAACCATTCAACTATCCAACTACCATCTTCAATAGAAGGCTTGATCTCGCCTTAACTACGTACATCTTATCAAGCTAGATGTTGTAAAACTCGTGGCCGTTGCTTCAGGAACATGTCCAAACCCCCGCTAAGAGAACGGGGTGGTTGATTGGATCATTCGGTTCATTGTCAAGTATATAGATTGTATCGATCGTGCTAGATTGTCAATCCTGAGAGATTAAATAAGAGTTGATTGGATCGATTGGTTCATTGTCAAGTATATAGATTGTATCTGGTCATGCTAGATTTTCAATCCTGAGAAATTAAATAATAGAAAATGGGTTGATTGGATCGTTTGATTCAAGTATATAGATTGTATCGATAGTGCTAGGTTGTCAATCCTGAGAGATTAAATAGTAGGAAATGGGATGATTGGATCAATTGATTCATCGACAAGTATATAGATGTATCTGATCATGCTAGTTGTCAATCCTGAGAAATTAAATGGGTTGATTGGATTGACTGATTGATCGACAAGTATATAGATTGTATTAATATTCATGCCATATCAATATGATCAGGAGGAGATAGGCAAGTTAAGAGTTGAAGGTTGATTGGATCAATTAGCTTAGTGTGATCCAAAGAAATGCAATGTAAATCGTTGAAAAATCTATTGAATCCATAATATCTATGTCAGAAATATCTGTATTATTATAATAATTTGTTTTTGTAGCGACTTACTCGATGGCCCACTGTCATGTGGGCCCCTGTCTCGTCACTATATTCAGAGTTTGTTAGAGAACGATTCTCTGTAGTCATCCAATTTTCAAAATTGTCCTGGGGAGAACCCTAGTACTTCCCTTTGTCCGAGGGGAGAGAACCCAACATCCCCCCACCCCCTAAAAAGTTCACTTCTCCTCCACAGCTTGACTACGGGCCTGCTACACTTTGTGTTATAATACTCATATTGTTTCAATAATAATTTTACATAATCTACTGTAGGCTACTTTTATATATGTAATCATAATAATCATTTTGTACAATAATCATTGTATATTAATCATTTTACTACCTATTTCTGTCATCATAATAATAATTGTATATAATCTTACCTGTCTTTATCATTATAATAATCATTCTGATAACCTTTTGGTTCAGGGATTTTTCCAGGTAGCCTTGATGTATCTGTTAACACAAATATAAGCAATGACTTCTATGTTTAAATGTTTTATAACACTTTAAGAAAATCTGTCAAAATTCGCCATTCAAAACTAAACTTTCTGTTCAGGTCAACAACTCAACTTATTTTGCCTTTATCATATTCCATGAAAAGAACTTTTTAAATTGTATGGTCATGAAATGTCGAATACAGTTGTAACATTTAAAATTATCAACAAAAGATAAAATAAAACAAAAATAAAATGTGAATTTCCTCATAAATGATCAACTAGATAGACTTAGTGACAAGTAGGTTATGATTAGGTTGATACTGGATAATCAAAGGAGTAGGGTGTTAAAAAATGATTATATGATTAGACATCAAAAAAAAGGTTATCGGAAAAAACATAGGAACAAGTGAGTTTATAGATTATGTGGTGTCATGCATGGCTATAAATAATTTGTTACCAGCAAGAGAGACTTGCTGCAACACTGATGCAATTAATACACCTGTGTTACAGTGAGATTGATATATATATATATATATATATATATATATGATATACAAAGATTATTATTATTGTGATTTACTAGTTAATCTAAAGTGACTATACCTACACAGTTGAATATCAGCGAGTATGGTGAATGTTAGTAATCAGGGGGGGGGGGGGGCATACTGTTATGAAGACGATGTATGGCTGTGTGGTGATGTTAAAGGTCACCGGAAAAGCATCATTTTTTTTTTAAATAATGCAAGTAATTATGTCCACATATCCTTTCCTTAACTATAACCCGAACCTGAATGCTAGTATTACCTGCAACAGCTAAATTCCAAAATTAGTAATTTCTGCCGTTCTCCGTGGGTAGTTGTAACTTTCCGTCAATAAACAATCCGTGACGTCATTTTAGTCCTTCTGTACATAGAAATATAGACTAGAATATGAGCAGAAGGACTAAAATGAAGTCACAGATTGTTTATTTACGGAAAGTTACGACTACCCATGGAGAATGTCAGAAATTACTAATGTTGAAATTTACCTGTTGCAGGTAATATTAACATTCGGGTTCGGGTTCTAGTTATGGAAAGGATATGTTGATATAATTACTTGCATTTTTAAAAAAAAATTTATGAACCTTTTCCGGTGACCTTTAAGCATCAATCAACAATCACTGTAGGTCACTTCAATGAACTTTACAACTTCCAAGTCCTGCCAACATGTGCTTTATACACATTTCAATTCAACTCATTGAATCAGATTTACAGGAAGCTTTATAATTGCACCAGCATGACTTTGGTAATATAAGACAGAGGTGAACTAATCTTGGACAAGCCTACATCATTTAGTCAGTTCATCTTCATCAATGAAATGTACAATATGTTGTCTTCATCCACCCATACAGACTTCTGTCAACTAAAGGTAAAGGTCATATTTCTTCTCAAGCAATCATAAAATGTTTGTAGCTCTCTGTAAAGCCTTTAGAATTGTATAATCAAAGGTAAGCCATTATTCACGGTAGTTTAGTGGAAACAATTTAGACTCAAGCGATCTTGTCAAAAGTTAGCCAATATACTTAAGGCATCGGTGATCTGACATATATTGTAATACTGTCACTTGTGGAGATGAGTTTTGTGAAATAATGAGGATATTTAGGATACATAAAAAAAGATATAAAAGCATGCAATACACATTAATATATCATATAAAATAAAATACATTATACATAAATATTAAACTTTCTTATGACATGAAACTATAAACAACAAATTTGCAGGGTGCCATACATGTATTACCCTTTAAAAACCATAAGGCATCACATCATAGTGAAGCCTTTGGCTCCTGCCTGAAGCATGGTATATATATTCAGATCATTTTCATATATATTCAGATCATTTTCAATTTGACGAAACAATTTCATAATTGAGAGATCAGGGCACTGATTACCAAATGTAATTTGTTGATGGCCATACTGCTATATAATGTCATAAAAAAGCTTGGGTTTCAGGAATGCAAAACTTTACAGAAAACAACTAACGATTCAATATCTGTCAAACACAGGCAGGTTTTAGAAACACATTTTTATTTTATATACCAGACTGATACTTTAAGAGAGCAGACCTATTAAGATCAAAATTTCTTTCAAAAATCAAAGGATCGAAAAATGTTCAGCTTCAGTATACAAAAAAACATAGGCCCTTAAAAAAATGATAGGTTTTGTAATCCTGTCACCAAAAGTAAACAAAAGGAAAAGCCTCATTCCATGTCAAATTAATACATGCAGAAAATGTCACCCGATCCGCCTATTATTAGCCTGCTAATAGTAGAAAGTTGTTAGTCATTTTTAGATGCTCGTAGCAGCGCTAAGGGTGCCTCTGCGCCTCTGGGGGTAAATTGTTAGCCGCTACAGTAACAACTAACAAGGGCGGCCTTTGTTATCTACTATTAGCAACCAACAAAGGCTGTAATAGTTAGTAGACCTATCCGCTATTAGCTTATTTATAAATCATTATTTTCTCGATCTCCGATAAATGGGAATAAAAGATAGAATTTGTATAGACTGCCTTCTTATGACGACCCGAACAATCTTCCAAGTTAGAACAAATCTTTCAAAAAACTTTGTCCTAAAATATATAGCCTACCGCCCGTCGATCCTCGCCACTGTATGTTACCGGGGGATCGAACCCGTAGCGTTGAACCTGGGTGTAGATTAGTCTATAGCGTAAAAGACTATGGAGTGCAGTAATTAATAAATTGTTTTAATAGCATTCTGTAATTGAACTGGAATATACAGGTCACACTAAAAGATTATATGCAACACAAATACCGTACTGCTTATTATTAGGCTGGAGGGGGGTCTGGAGTTTGCTCCCGGTGTGAATCCGTCGTGATTTTTAGGCAAAGTTTACCCTTGTCAGTAGGACAGGGCGGAGTGCCTCAAGGAAAAGCTATATAGTCGTCCAGATGGGACAGAAAGGAGGTCCCGCGTACACGTAGAGGAATCCTTCAGTTTTGAATCGAAATAAGAGTACGCCGTACCCAGTACCGCCGAAAACCGCCCCCCCCCCTCACCCCAATAGCATACTGCATGCTGCATTGGGTCTATATGATGTTATTGTTAAATCCCATTTCATTTCTCCATGAACGGGAATCTTCGTTCCCTGCATTGGCCAAGAATTTCATCGGGTTTATTCGACATGGTTTCCCCTTAATTGTCAGTGGTGCAAGACGGAAGGCCTGACAAGAACAGTTGTCTAGTCGTTCGTGTATACATTGGCATGCACGTTAAAGATCCCTTGGCAGTTGGAATTCGATATAAGAGTAGGCCTAGGCCATATTTCCACTGCCCGGGCAATATTTTCCTTCATAGCACACTGTATGGCGTATGCCCGTCTTCATTAGCCCAGTCGGGGCCGAACAGTAGGACATTAAACCCCAATCATTTCATTTCATGAACGGAAATCGTCTTCAAGAATCGCATTGTGAGTTACTAGGGTTACGCTGTCTCTCGAACTACTTTCCTGCGCTCTTTTGGACAAGGTCCAAGGTCAACAAGGCGGGAAAGAGCGCCATATTAATACTTAAAACTTAGAAAATCCAAAATACGAGGTACCGGTATCTTACTTTATTTTATAAAAGATCAGACTTAAACAGGGGATAAAACCCATCCAAAGACTGGGCTTTAATAGTTAGAGAGACAGAGAGAGACTCGGACTCGGGACAGAGAGATGCCAGATGGCAGATGGGGATTAAGTCTAACTAAGATTAGCTAAACTAACTTAGTCTCTAAGTCTAATTCAATATCATCCACCAAAGTCTTACTCGTTGAAAACACGAATTATTTGTCAATTCAAATCAACATTGATGTTGTGATCTTACCGGGAAAAGGTAAGCTTCTGATAACCAATATTTAAAATAAAATAAATATTTTACCATTGCATTGGTACACGAATCGTGTACGGTGCCATAGTACGTTTGATTGTCATTTGTAACAAAGGACCGAGGCTAGACATATTCCACAACTGAATACTCATATCAAACGGTGACGCCATGAGAGCATGCGCAATAGACTGAAATAACCAGATACTAGAAATAGCGATTCGGTTGAGACTCATGCCATATTTCGCTGGAGATAACTGATTTGAAATTAGAGTCAAAACGGAAACAATTGAATGTAAATCAGTTTATTTATATACAATCAGATTACATTATTATTTGTTGCGACCCATTTGGGTCAATTTCTAGGTCCCAAACATTAGCGATTTACTTGATTTAGCTCCTTTAAAGTCCACTCGTCTCGACCACTTGACACAAACCATTAAACTAGGCCTAAATCATTTCGGGACTAATAGGCCTATTGTTAAATTCACTTGACAGTCGACCCATGCACGCCGTGTTAGGCTCAAATGACAGATTTTGTGAGATAGTGCTAAACAATATTCCTACTGCCATCAAGATCAAGCACTATTAGTATTTGGCCGTACTAGGTTTGAAGCCTACTTGTACTTGTAGCCTAAACTACTAAACTAGGCCTATGTTAACTATGTAGACCTACTGGTACTAATGCCATTTCTGATGATATGGATTTTGATGATATGAATTTTGAAGATATTAATATGATGATGAAACAAAATGAAATGAAATGCTGAAATGGGGTTTAACATCCTACTTTTCTGCTCTTTCTGGGCTAATGAAGAAGGCATACACTATCGTCTATCAATATGTTATGATGAGGCAAATTTTGGACAGAGTGACACTAATGTAGCCTACGTAAGCTTACTCTTTTTTGGAATTCTGTCTGTAGGGTTCTTTTAGTTCTATGTGCAGGACGCATTTTTCTTTCCATCCAAGCAACTAGGCACTGTTCCATGCAAAATTCAACCAGAAACATTATAGCCTGTTTTTGTGGTTTAACAAATTCCAATGGCAAAGCATATACTGATCTATAAAAGCATTTATAATGCGACTCTAGGCTGGGCCTTTCTATTCATGCTAATTAGCGAACTGAACAGCAAGTCATATGTATGTGTGCAGCATATGCAGGGGGGGCGTACTTATTCTTTTTAGAACACCTGATAGCACTTTTTGTTCACATTACCTGGTACCGTACGGTAATATATAATTAACGTTTTTCTTTCGTATTGTCAAAGAATAATCTGAATCGACCTATAGAATTAAAAGTGTACTCATAATAAAGTTTCAGTCGATAACTAAACAGTCCTTTGCTTGCTTCGGGTGTTAAGAAACATTATTAAAATTTCATTTCATTTTACAGAGGATGTAGGCCTAGCTCAGAGTTCAGAATAGATCACACTTCCTCTCAACAATAACTGATAAATGAGTATATCAATCCAAATGGTTATGCCTATTGTAGCTATTGAACATTGTACTGTATCCCTGACCTCCCCTGCAAGCGCTGTATCATAAAGTCTGTCATTGAGTCGAGTCAGTCGACAGGCGTGGTTTCGAATCCCCGGTTGTACGTGACAAGGAGTAGGGTTGCCTGTCCAACCTCGTGGGTTTTCTCCGGGTCCTCCGTTTTCCTCCCACTGCTAAAGACCCCTAAGCGCATGCGAATTATTGAAATAAAATTAAACCATTTGTTAGTCCCGAAATGACCTAGTTTGTGTCGAGTGGACGTTAAACCCCA